TTCAGTTGTCCACCTTGCTCTCCCTCCCAGCAAATCTGCCATGAAACTCAGCACAAGATAAGACCAGGTGCATTGCACTGGGTGAGGGAGCAGGAGATGCCACAGGTGTCCTGTGCCCTGGGTGGAGAGAAGAGAAAGAGCTTGTGGGCTGCCAGCCCAGTCTTTCCCAGCCCGTGTTATTTACAGCTAAGGAAAATTTTGTGCATCTGACCCTGGTCCTACTTCCTTCTCCCACCTTTTAGAAACTCCCTACAACTCTAAGTTCCTGGTCCCCAGGTGCCCAGGCTAGGTCCCCAGATCCCAGAAGAGGGGTGGGGTGGGGGCGGGGGCAGCACCCTCGTTTTCTGCCCTCTGGGGACTGCTGCGACCTGGGTTAACGCAGACTGCCATGACGCAGTGCACGACATGTGGGCTTCTCAGCCAGGCTGCAGCTAAAAGGCACTACACTGAGCCGAGTGTTCCCCACGATGGTGGAGGGGAGCACACGCTGCATTATTCAGTGTCAGTGTGGGGGTGGGGGGAGGGGAAAGTCAATGCCTCATTTCATTCCTTCAAAATTAAATCCTAGATGTTGACTGGAAACATATGGCGATGCTTTGGGATCAATCCTGTTTCTCGTGGATATCCTAAAACAGCAAAAGGCTTTCTTGGCTGTGTTCCCTTCCTTCAGAGGCTGGCCTTCCTTGACTCCCGGACCATCATTCCGGCAGGCAAGATGAGCCCATCCTGCCTTACACTGAAGGTCACTGGCAGAGTCCTGAGCTGTAAATGTGAGCATGAAGGGTGTGCTCTTAACTGTTAAACTCACTCCTTTCATTTAATTTCTTTAAAGCTAATTAGAGCAAGGGAAACTTTTAATGCCATTTGTTTTTCTAACCCAGGGAATCTGACTTAGGGACTTCTGTGGCCTGGAATGTCCTGAACCGGCCAAGATTTGACAAAGCCTTCGGTGCCCAGGGCACTGTCTGAGTCACAGAGCAGCATCGCACAGCCTGGTTCACCCCGGGCAAAAACGTTCCAAGTTCTCTGGATGAACAGCCTACAGATGCCCAGCACTGAAGGCCTGGGTCTGGCAGCCCCCAAACAGAAAGCCCATCCCAAGGGAGGTCCTGCTTCGACACCTCTCCACCGTCACTGTCCTGCCCTCCAAAATTCACTCTCCTCCAAAGCACTTGGTTAAAACTGGGCTTTGTCGCGCTGTCAGGAGTCTGTTGAGCTGTAGAAGCACAGACAGTCCCACTTTTCAGCTCAGCACATCCCTGGAAAAGGGGCTCTAAAGAGGACCTTCAGGATGTCGATCATATTTTCTTATAGGAACGCTCTTCTAATTGGGGTGCGTTTCTAACCAGAGTCGTGGCTTCAAATGAATCACCGTGATTTCCAGCAGCATGTCATCAAAGCCAATATGTCCCCAAACCTCTGTAATCATCTATCAGAAGAAAATCTCTGACAAGCCTTTTTCTCTTGATGCTGGCAGAGCCCTCAGCTCATTACTCAGTGTTCCTGAGCTGAGCTCTCCCTCCCCGCCGCACGGGCTGGAGCCCTTTCTTTCCTCTCCTGCCCTTGATCTTGAGGCTGTTAGCCCCCTCGTTGTTCCGCACTAGCTGGCTCTTCTCCTTTCTTCACTGAATTCCTTTAGCTAAAAGACCTTTGAACAATTTACGATTTCAGTGCTCTCCTTTCCCGCCAACCCCCACATTTGGCATAACCCACGCTGTGACGAGCAGCACCCCAGATCATCATGACCCCGTCCCTCCCCGCATTACTGAGCCTGGACTGTGATTAGCATATAAAGAAAATCCCTGTGCAGTGCTCTTACAGGTTGGAGCCCTCCAACAGTCTGAATATACCCCAATTCGCTCCACCTTAAGGGGACAGGGTAGCTAAAAAGGGCATTCATTCATTCCAAAGGTATTTATTGATTTCTATGTGCCAAGTACTTTCCAAGTCACTTGGGATATAGCTGTGAATAAAACAGATAAAAATCCACTTGGGGCTCGAGTGAGGATGTAATAAGCAGGAAGATAATTGGCTTGGAAGTCTGAGGAGCTAGTCTAGATGCTTCCACTAACCGGCTAAGTCACTTCTGCCTCTCTGATCCAGTCTCCTCATCTGGAGAATGAAAAGATTGGACTTGGTCCCAGACAAGGACTCACCCCTGTGACCATCTAAGGGCTCTTTGGTTTGTGATCTTTCTTATACTCTAGAATCTTCGGCTTCCCAGCCAAGCGAGTAGAGCTCCCTGCATCTCCTTAAGTGGGGCATTCACGCCGACTCCACTCTCGACCCTCGCAATTCTTTTCTGCTTTGACCGTTCTTCGGTCCTAAGAAAGAGAGAAGAGAGAGCCCTCTCCATCAGGTTCGCCTGCCTGCCTTTCCCGCTTGTTGCCCCCGCATCCTCCCCTCTCCACTCCCATGTGGTCACAAACATTTGTCAAGAACAAATGACCTCTTCTTCAAAGACGGTTGTTGTGGGCGGGATGCCTCTTTGGGGTCACTGTGATGCCTTTGGGGGCATCTGTTTTCCTGGGCATGCTCGAGGAAGCCAGCGAACAGATCACAGGGAGGATGCGGTACAGTTGGTGCAACAGAACCACTGGAAACCAATTAACAGACTGAAAACCAGAGAAAGGCCGGCGGCCAAAGAACAGGCACCCCGTGGTAAACAATTACCAGTGTGGGCAGGGACAGCGATGTAGGTCAGCTCGCAGCCAGGAAATAGTTTTACAAGTGCGAAATGTGAATCCCTTCTGGAAGCAGAATCTGGGTAGAGGTTTTCTTTCTATATTTGGGCAGATGACCACCTGGTTGTCCTGCAACTCCCCTCGGTTTCTGAGCAGCTGGTCTTGGCTACCACCTCCCTCCAAAAGAAAACGGCTCAGGGGCCTTCTAACCTTGACCTTGACCTTGATGGTCACGAGAGAGGGATGGGAGGCTAGATCCCGCTTTATAAGCTAGGTCCCCACAGGGTGCCTGTATTGTACTCTCACCTTCTGAGGACGCTGGATGCTTTCCGTCGCAGCTGTGGTACATTCTTTGTTTTTGAGAGCAGACCTTTCAGCACTACGGCGCTTGGAAAGATTTACCAGTTTCAGATGAATATCCGGGGAACCCTGAAATTAAGATCAACACCCAAGCTTTAAGGACGATTCTGGCAGGGGTTTGGTCAAGGGGAAACAGGAGACTTGGGGGTTCAGATCCAGCTCGGTGTGCGATCGAGTCCTAGGAGCGCTCGGGTGCTCACGCCCAGAGGCTCAGGTCGGGAAGAGCCACTGAGACCTTTGACCTCCGAACTGGAGCCCCAGCTTTTACGGCGGACGAAGTGCTTCCACATTCATTCTGTCTTGGTTCCTCAGAACAGACTGGAAAGTGGGCAGGGCAGGTGTTAACAGCTGCACTTCGTAGAGAAGGAAACTGAGGCCAGAGAAGACTCCGGACATGCATTTGCTGAGCTGTATGTGACAGTGAAGACTGGAGGGAGGTCTCCCAGGGCCAAGGTGGGCGTCTTTCTACCACCCCTCAGTGTGTTGGGGGGTCTTCTGAGCGGCCTGGGTCAGACAAGGCAGTTGTGCTGGTGAAAGCGTATTTCTGGTATCTCTCGTTAACCTTATCCTAGGAAATACTTTAGGTTTCCTAGGAACTCATGGGAGGCTGATCCTGACCTATGGCTGGGTAGAGGCACCCAGCCCACCAGAAACCACTGTCCCTGAGGACAGAGCCACAGAACCCTGATGGGCATTTCTCTAGGTGGTTCTTGACTCTGCTTCCACAAGACCAGAGAGGAAACTACACCCTCTAAATCCCCACGGCTCCCCAGGGAAACAACAATTGTGTTTACCAAGGACTTCAGGAGCTCCACTCTCTGGTCCCCAGGCTGGTGCAGCTTTGCCCCGAGGCTGCTTTCCTTCCCGACCACCCTTGGCCTCTGGATTATGTGGACGTGTTGACCAGACCCTGAGACCCTCTCCTTCTCAGGCACTGCGTAGGGCAGCTTTTTGGGCATACGACCCTCATGATGGTTGAACTTTCTGCTGGTCTTTTCATAGAAGAACAAAGAACTGTCGTCCTCAACTTAGCAACATAAACCTCCACCCATGACAAACACCTGTTCCCAGCTAGTCATGGAGCATTTCTTAAAATGGTACGTGAGAAAGTTTGCAAAAGCGGTGGTCTGGAATCCTTCTGGTCTTAGTTAACTTTGCCAGCTGAGTTGTCTTCCTAGGTGAATAACAGGAGAGTATTGCTTTGACTCATCTCTAGCCAGCTGGACGAGCTGTAGCGCGCACTGGCACCCCCAAATATTGTTGCATGTGGCAAATGCTTGGCGTGAAACAATTCCCCTCCAAGCCCTTTCTGGGGCCTCATTCCAGCGGGGTAACTGTTGGGGTGAAGGAATTCATTGTGCGGAGGAGTTCAATGTCTTTTTTTAAACCAGGAATTGAGAAGTGTGACTAATGAGCACGCTGTAAAAGCCACAGACCACCTCATTAAATGTTGGAGCCATTTCCCAGGCTGGGTAGAAATGAAAATCCCCAAAGAAAGACCACCCCGCCAATTAATGAAGAGCTTTTCCTCAGTATGATGCATATTTAGCAGACATTTTTGATAGACAAAGAGCGTTTACCAGAAGCCTTCAAAAAAGCCCCCTGATTTCTGATGGGATGTGGAGGGATGAGAGAAAGAGGAGGAAGAGATTTCTCTGCATGGTGTACCGGATGTTAGCAAAGAGCAGCTGGTTTGAGATTTCAGGGTTCAGGTGATTCTGGACTGTTTCTCCTTCTCTGCAAGGACCCTTCTGTCATGATGGGTTTTGCTTACTCTTCTAGGGCCTGCCCCTAGGGTTGTTGAAGGTTACAAGAGAGAATCCACACAAAGCTTGTTCTCAGTGCCTGGTGCACAGCAAACGTTGAGGGTATTTGTTGCCCGTGTCACTCATCACATCAACATTACGGGAGGAGCTGTGTCCCTTTTTGCGGGTGAGGGAACAGAGGCAGCGGTCAGGGAGGGCTGTTGCCCATGGCCACTGCACAAGGTCTCAGCTACACTCGGGCTGATCTTTCCAGGCCAGGCTGAGTGGAGGGACAGCGACGGAGAGAGCTCAGGCTGCACGTCGGTGGGCTGCTGGTCAGTCTTGTTCCACTGTAGTCCCAGCCCTCCCGTGCATTTCAACCATCTGGGTTGTGCCAAGACAGCACTGCTGACCCGCTAGCATGGTTGTAAATACAAAAGCTCCACACTGTCCTTTATAAAGAACCCTATTACTTGGCTAGTGGCTTGGAGTAAGGCCATGCTTCATGCTGCAACAGGCTTAGCTCAGGCCCTCGGAACTGGTCTCCCTGCTTCCAGGCTGTCTCACCCTCCTCTACCCTTCACACAGCCACCAAGAGGCCTTTCTAGAACCATCTTCTGATTTGGGTCATGATACACCCCTATTTTAAAGTTTCTGCTGGCTCCCCTTTGCCTACAAGGTCAAGTCCACACTCCTCAGTGTGGCCTTCAGAGCCCTTTATAATCACCCCACCCACCATCCCCAGAAGGACACGCTCTAGTCACTCTGAACTCACCCTTCATGGTAGGGCAGGCCCTTTCCTGACTCCAGACTTCTGCCCATGCTCTTCCCACCACCTGGAGGCCACCCCTACCCACTTCTCTGCTTGGCAAACTCCTGTTTCATCATGCAAGACCCAGCTGCAGGAGCACCCCCTCTGGGTGGCCTTCCTGACTTTCTCCAGCAGAGGTTCACACTCTCCTCTGCGAGCAGGAGCCTGCTGCTGGTGTCGAGACGTTTCCTGGTATTCAAGAGCGGGCCCCTGCCCCCCACCACCCCCACTTCTGCACGGGGCTGGGGTCCCGCTGAACGGTGTAGCCTGGCCTGGACCATGTTTCCAAACTTGTCACCTGCTGTCCACGTCAACCTCCTTAAGAGACACAGTGTGAATATTTACACCAGAAATTGTCCTAGACATGGAAATTGTGTAACTGACGATTAGGGGATAAAAAACACTGTTAAATCGTCTCGTCTTCTTTGTGGTAACAAAATGGAGAAGCACTGGGATTTCGAATGGAACTGTTCTGTAAACTCTAGCAGGGGTTCTCAACAGGGGTGGGAGACAAGGTATTTCAGAGTCACCCATGGGGGTTTCTTACATAGATTGGATACAGATGCCAAGCCCGCCTGTCTGCCCACCCCTCGGCCACCCCTGTTCTGCTCCAGTCACTGAGCAGGGCTTCATCATCTGCGACACCGGGATGCTCGGCAAAGCAAATCTTCCTTTCTGAATCTCCACTGCCTCGGCTATAAAATGGAGGTAGTAACGTCTGCCTCAGAGGAATATACTGAAGAGCCAATGAGATTCTATCTGTGAAGTTCTTAATGGACACTAAAAGCAAGTTAGTTCCATTCTCCTTGTCCCTTCCTCACTTCAGCCAGAAATCACCCCAGGTTCCACGGGGCAGCCCTAGAAGGAAGGAAGTTCTCAGAGCATGGCAGCCGTGACACAGAGGGACCGGTCAAGCCAGAGGGTTGGAGGCCTTGGTGAAATGCTGCCTCTTTTCCTCTTCTTTCTACTGCTTGGGAAAAGCTCTACCCACGGACACTTGATGGCGAGGGTTCCATAGATTTAGCTCGCATCCATATTTGCATATTATTCAAAGAATTGGGGCCTTAGCCACTATTTCTGGCCAGTGTCCTTTGTGTCCGCTCGATTTAATCACCGGGGTGTAGGTTGGCCTGTGAATGGCTGCAGAGCTCTTCCAGAAAGTACACCAGGTGGCGCTGTGGAGGGACCAAAGCAGGAGCACTTTGGGAGGGAGGGAGAAGCAGACCGCTGATGCAGGGCTGTGCTGGCGGTGGACAGAGCCCTTGGTGGCCCGCCAGCCGTCAGGTGCAGGTGCCCTGCTCAGGGGCACCCCTCTGACTCTAAGACTGTATTTGAGCACACACGAGAGCACCCCTCTCTGTTTTCCTTGCAGATTGTTGACAAGAGTGGTGACCATATGCCACACTCAATTCTAAGTGCTTCCTGTGTGTTAACCGTTTAATTCCCATAACCCTGGGAGCTAAGTACACTAACTACTCTCTAAAAGCACCTGGAAACTGAGGCACAGAGAGGCTAGAGAACTTGCCTGGGGTGACCTGGCTGTAGGTGGGCCCAGGTGGTCTGGCCCCAGGGGCCACGTGCTTCAACACTCACCACCCCACGCAAAGCTCAGTTTGCCCTGGCAGCTTCAATAACTTCACGTGGCTCATGTTACCCCCTAGGTCTTTGAGGTTAAGCCAGCAGTACCGCGTAGAGAAGATTCTTCCAGGAAGCTGGGGGTTCCGATGCCTCTTAGATGATATAACTTTAGGTTGCCATTTTCAAGAGGCCAAAAACCAGTGTACTGGGGGTATGGTCTTGGGCCATGGGGCATTCACTCATTTATTTGTTACATGTTTACCAGGAGGGGTGTAGACAGGCAAGGTCCCAGCTCTCGTGGAACTTATTGGGGTTGGGAAAACAGCTAGTCAATGAGTGTATAAATAAGAAAATTTCAGGTAATAATAAAAAGTGAAGGAAAGGAAAGGCAGGTTAATGAGGTTCATGGGGTAGAGACTGACTGTAGATGGAGGAGGGGAAGGGGAGAGAGGGATGAACGCGCTGGTGCGGCAGGCAGATCCTTCTCTATGAATTCTGAACTAAATGTTTCCTAATTCTGTGATCTCCTTCAGGCGGAGGAAAAGCCATCTCACTTGTACAGCAACCTCTACACACACTCATTGCACAGCCACTCTTTCCTGTTACAGCATCAGTTCAGGCACAGGTTATACATTAAATAAGGGAGGACTTGTTCTCCAAGTCCCAGAGGCCCTGGAGCGTGGTCAGGCTGCCTGTGCGCCTCGCCTGCCCACCTGGCCCCAGGTGTAGATGGTGCAGAAACGCAGCCCCATTCAGGCTGGGCAGCTGGCTGAGTCGCAGGGCTCTATGGCAATTGTGGAACTTGAACCTCAGATCTGAGTGTTTTGCAGAAACGAGCCTGTTTGTGCTACAGCTCAGCAGTAGTGCTTGCTTTTAGCAAAGTCGCCCATTACAAGCAATAAAGACCCACTTCCTGGTGGGCTGCGGAGTCACAGAATGGAAAGGGTCCTGAGAGCTTGCCCAGCCTGTCTTCAGACACAGAATATGTAAACCATTCTGGTCACAAGGCTCCGTTTCTCTTCTTGGATATATCCAAAGACAGAGATCACAGAGGGACCCCCAAAATCTATTCCCCCAATGTCCTCAGCGTTACAGCTCTGCCTTAGATAGAGTCTCGGAGCCCAGGTCCGTTTTCATTCAGGAACGTGATCCCGGAGAGGGACATGCACTTAAATGGCGGCTGTCTCGCCTGCAGATCGGGCTTGTGTTCTTGTGAAAATGTAAAATATTTAGAGAACAGGAACCTACCTGTCTCCATGGTCCCTCGCTGCTAAGAATATATTATCTTGATTAAGGTAATGAGAGACGTGCTCTGAAACAGGTGGATGAGGACCAAAGCAGATGGACTGAATTAATTTGTGTTTGCCAGCTCTACACAGAGCACTGCAAGGACTTTGAAAACCATGCCAAGCTCACCGAGGATGGCATCATTGTGAGACATGTCACTGTGAACTGGAGGAAGGGCTTGGGTGACCCAAATGACCCCAGTTAGTTTTATGCCTGGGATGCTGAGTGGTTGTTTTGTTTTGAAAGCAGGATATTTAACAGTTTCATTTCGGGGAGGTTGGCACCTGCCCTGTACAGAGTCTATTGTTAGGCACCCTAGGCACCCGGAGGAGCACAAAGAGGAATGAGTCACAGGCCAGTGTTGAAGGGCCTGGAAGCCTTGTAAAAGAGGCCAGCTGCACGCTGGTTCCAGGACATCGCTCCTCCCTTGGCTGGTTCCCTCCTACCCAGCCCTCTGAGCCTCAGCTCCCATATTACTTTCTAGAAGCTTCCCCCATCCTCCATCTGTGATTCCATGATATCTTTTAATGTATTTGTTAATTCCATAAACACTTACTGGGTGCCCACTGTGTGCCAGGCCCTGTTTAGACAGCTGTGCTAATCTCACGATGTTCTGGTTTTCTGCATACCCATCTGCCTCCCCACGCTGGACGGGGAGCTCCTTGAGGGCGGGGAGCACTTCTTCCTTCGTGCATCCCCAGTACCTGGCACAGAGCAGCCGCTCAGTACATGTCTGTGGAACAAATGAAGAGAGAAATGACAACAATAGAAGATGGGTAGTTACTAAAAGAAAAGTTAGCATTTATACATATTTTTACAGGTGTCAAAACATTCTCAGTAAACGTTACTTCATCTGGTTCTTCATAAGAACCCCTTGTGAAGCAATCGTTTCCATTTGTGGGTGGGAAGGTTGAGGCTTGGGCAAAGTATGACCCACCCAGTAGAACATGGGACTTTGGAGGCCAAATCCTTTGCTCTTTCTACTCCACACAGGAGTGTGTCTTCTATGAGAATCTGAGGGAATAATGAGCTGGGGGAACCCAGGGAAGGGAGAGGTCACCCTCAGCAGAGAGCGTGAGAGACAGCTGGGCCTGAAGCTGGAACTGAAAGGTGGCTCCTGACCAGCAGAGCGAGGGGTTGGTAGGGAGGATGGCCCAGGGCAGGCTTGGGGGCCAGTCACTGGTCTGGCCTGTTGAGATTGAGAGGAAGAGGGCCATAGACCATGGGTGCTGGAAGGACCTTGAAATGACCTAGCCCAGCCCAGCAGTTCTTAGTCTAGCTGACCCTTAGCATTCCTATGAGTGTTTGGGGAGGGGGGCAGTTCTAAAAGGGTGGTCCCCAGGCTCCAACTCCAGAAACTTTAAATCAGAAGATCTGGGGCAGATCTTTTGAAAAAGCTCCAGAGCCTTTTGCATGCCGCAGTCCCCTTTTAAAATCCATTATTCAATTTTTCCCTTTTGGATAGTCTTAGAGTTCAGACGCCTTTTAGGAGGCATTTGTAGTTATGTTGAGTCAAAGGTTTGCTGGGATGGTCTGCATTTTCCCCAATGCTCGCAGCCTAGCTCTTGTCTGCCAGCTGCACACCCCTCTTTACACGCTGGTCTTCCCACTCCTCTGCCTGACAATGAAGGGATAGCCTCCGGAGTTGGCGGTGAGTGTGTATGTTGATTTGTTCTCTCTAGAGCAGAGGGCTCACACCTTGGCCTTCCTGGAGGAGGGGACCGGGGAATCTAGACTGGTTGGTACCAGATACCTTGGCCTCCTGGGAATGATTTAAGCAGCATAGCACAACCTGAACAGCCAGGACCAAGTTCAAGAGCATTTCCAGGAAGTCCCGGGAGTATGCCCTCAATGGCCCCTCTCCAGTATAAATGACAGTTGGGGGCAAATACTCTCTGTAGAGTGCTCCCAGACTGGCCTTTGGCTCAATCTGCCTCTTGCACCTCCTCCACCCTCTTTTTAAACCCAAATTAAAAGGCATTAGAAGACAGTGTCTTGGTAGCCCAGGTCCTCAGACTGAATGTTCATGGCTTTGACCAGGCTCCCGTGAAGTTGAGCATTCAGATATCCTTCTGAGACTATTTGTTGTAGATCAATAGGAACATTTTCTGCCACTATTCTGCTTAGTTGGTTTCAGATTGTGAAATGAGATAAAAGACTAGTACAGTACTTACCATGTATGGTATTTGTTAATTTACATGCCTCTTCCCACTAGATTAGAAATTCCTTGAGAGCAAAGATCAGTCTGATTCATCTTTATGCTCCATGTCTGGTGCATGTGCATGTTCAGTTTTTTGGCTCAATGAAAAGATAGATATTTAAATAAGATTTGATTCATAAAAATCCAACATGCGTACAGTTCAGTTCACGACTATATGGATTTTTTTTCTTTTCTGCTTTATTTCCCCAACCCTCCCCCGTACACAGTTGTATATCCTAGTTGCAGGTCCTTCTAGTTGTGGGATATGGGACGCTGCCTCAATGTGGCCTGATGAGCCGTGCCATGTCCGCGCCCAGGATCCGAACCCTGGGCCGCTGCAGTAGAGCGCGCGAACTTAACCACTCCGCCACGGAGCCGGCCCCCGACTATACGGATTTTGAAAAGTCTATGCTTATATCAAGTGTAACGCATATATCAACAAATGCGAATGTTAAGAACAAAGAAATTTACCTCTCAGCCCCTCATCAGTCCCCACTTTCCTTGGTTTTATTTTGAATAGAGTGTCCAATATGACAACAAATTAACTGCACCTTGAGTTTTTAATTTTAATACTAAAAATATGTTGAAAGATATGTAAAAGTCTTACTATTTAATAACAATCAAAGACATGAAAAAAATTTTTTTAAAGCTTTCAGTTTCTATTTTCAACTAACAAAAGTAAGGAAAATTATAAAAAGCAGTAACCTCAAAACTGAAGATGCTGCAATGACACTGTCAGGTGCTTGCAATATAATCCTTTGAAAAGCAAAGTAAAATCCATAAAGTTTTTAATATAATTTGACCAACCTATCTTGTTCCTGGAAATTTGTCCTAAAGAAATAATTCTAAAGATGCAAAAAGCTACATAAATGAAGATTTCAGCATTGACTTCTATAGCAAAAAAACTGGAAACATGTAAAGTTCCATAAAAGGGAAATAGTTTAATAAACCACAATACAGCAATATGTGGAAATATTACTCAGTCTTGAAATAATTATGAAGACTGTTGAATTTTGGAAAAAGAATATAAAACTGCTGTGTTTGCTAGAATTATAAATGTTAAAAATATGCGTGTGTGCCTACTGGCAAGAAAATAATGTGTAAATAAATTTAATCTTTAAGAATGAAACAATATATGCCAAATATTAACAATGATTATTTCTGACTGAAAGGATTATGGACGATTTTTATTTCCCTCTTCAATCTTCTCTATATTTTCCAAGTTTTCTATTAAAAAAAACATGTTTTGTTTTGGGAACCTCTTCCGCCTGGAAAAATAATTTATGATGATGATGCATATTATGGGTTAGTATTTACTTTAATACTATTTTTATAATTAAATTAAATATTACTTTTTTTAGAAAGTAAATGGATTATACACCCAGAAGCTGAGCCCTTCTCATGACATGTGTGGCTACCATTCTGGTCTTCATTTCTTGCTTGGATTATAGAAGTAATAGCTTCTACTTGGTCTTCCATCTTCTATCCTTGCCTGTTCTCAGAGCCAGAGTGCTGATTTGAGCATATATGTCAGAATTGCAATTTAGGATGTGCGCCCTATGGCAAACCATAGGCAAGTACAGAAGACAAAGAAGGGGAGCTGCCTTTCTAGAGAAAAAGGGGGGATAGGGAGGCGCTGTTCTAAAGGAAAGTCCATTGCGGGGAAAGTAACAGTTCAGAGTGGAAACAGCTTCTCATTGGCTCAGCTGCGGCTTTTTCATTGGCTGGGCTGTTCCTAGGTGGGGAGAGAAATCTTCCTTCAGTAGCAAAGTAGTTTTACTTCCTGTCCAAGATGCAAGCTCTTGGGCTCTTCCTGTTTGGTATAACTCACGATGTGTGATAAGGTATAAGAACACCCCCTACAGGCCTTCCTGACTCCAATTTAGTGAAGTTTTTTTTATTATTAATTTCCACAACTCCTATCATACTATATAGCTTATTATGTACATTGTTTCTTTTCTGTCTCCCCATGGTAGGGGGTAAAACATAACCCCCATAGAGGCAAGGAATTTTGGTCTGCTCTGTTCACTGATAGGCCTGATATGTGCCTGGCATTTAGGTGCCTAATATATATTTGTTGAATGAATTTGTTACAGAAGCTCTGAATAAGATGAGAGCCTGCTGGGAACTCCAGTAAGAAGAAAAAGAGCTAGCTGAGGTCCAGGCCTGGGTTGGGGAAACTAACAAACTCTCTGCAGAGTCTGGATCCAGAATCTTCAGGGCATGGTACATTTAAGTCTGGTCTGGGTTGACACTGCAGTATCCCTGGGCTGGATGCAGGCGATGGGGTGGCGGCAGCAGGTGATTTCCAGACTGTCCTTCCCAGTTGGGAGGATGAGAGTTGCTGCCTTTCTCCTATGATTTGTCTGAAGGTGGCTGGCCACTCTTGTTAACAGTGGGCTGGGGCTGGAGCTGACCCAGGATGTCTGTGGGTGGTACTTGATGTGGATCAAGGCTGCCTCAGGGAGAAAAGCCCAAGGCGTCCTGGCCTACATGCCATCTATCATCCTCCGGGAAGTATAGGACGTCCTGGCCTGATTCGACCTGATTCGTATCCCAAGTTATACGACCACCAGATAACCAGACCCCACCTGCACCGATACCATTTTAACGACTTTTTTACGTGATTCTTCCTTTGTCTTGTAAATAAATAACTCATACCTGTGCCTTATAAATTTAGCCCTACCCTCAACCCATTGCACTGCCCATGGGTCCTGTCCCCATGCCTACAGCTCTTCACTGCCCATGGGTCCTGTCCCCATGCCTACAGCTCTTCACTGCCCATGGGTCCTGTCCCCATGCCTACAGCTCTTCACTGCCCATGGGTCCTGTCCCCATGCTATTCTCTGAATAAAGGAGCACTGCTACCAGACCTTGAGAGTCCCAGAAATCTTCCTTTCAACTCCTCGGCTCGCCAAGCCTGCGTCAGTACTCACCCAAAAGAGTAGACCCATGATCCCTACCTCTCCTCAGAGGGCCGATGTCAGAGAGGCACGGTCCTCAGCTGGTCACAAAAAGGACCAAGGCCTTTACTGCACAGACCTCTTCATTGTGAAGAACAGGTGCGCATGAAAATTATGAAACTAGGAGCTTTGTTAACTAGGCCAAAGGACAGCGGTTTTATTTGTCCTCCAGAGGAGAAATGCATCCCAATGCTGCATTTGAATCAAAGGAATGAAGGGAGGCAAGAGAGGGAGGGAAGGAAGAGGGGAGATATAGATAAATAATGTATTATTTTACTGGAAGAAGGATTTCTTAAGTAACCTTGGTCTGTAGTCATACCCTTAGAGTTAGATGGTAATTGATTTCGTTTAACCTACACATTAAGTGAAATAGCAACCTTTTTAGTTGCATTTCTTCTTAATTAAAGCAATTAATAGCACTGGATTCTCTGTACACTCTGTCCAAAACCCTTCATGCATTTCCTTCCCATGAACATCGCTGCTGGGCAGTGTTTTTCCCCTGCCCACTACGTGTTTGTCTTGTTGCTGTCATGTTTGTTTGTCTGTTTTTGCAGAAAAACTCCACATTGGTGATATGGTCAAGCTAAGTCCACTTGGGTAAATCCCAACTTGTCAAATTAGCTTGCTTTTTTTTCCCTAAAAAGATGGATTATGTGTCCAGAATCTGACCACTTCTCGTGACATCTATGGCTACCCCTGGCCCAAGCCAGCATCGTCTCTCCCCTGGTTACTGTCAAGGCCCAGTAGTTGGTCTTCCATTTTCCCCGTGAGCCCTACAGTCTACTCAACACAGCAGCCAGCGCGCTCCTCTGAGCAGGACCATCAGGATGAGGCTGCTTAATTGTGCCCATCGGCAGTTGTCACATCAGTTGTTCAACCTCTCGGGGCAGGATTTAAGTGTGTCCCAAAACACCTCCAGAGATCTGTTCTGCATCGCCTGGGAGCGCGGCTGCTTCCGAAGCTGTCGCAAGGCAGAGCAGCACAGAGGGACGTCAGAAAGGGCTGGCAGAAACAGCCCTAATCAGGAGAGGAAAATGTCACATCACCAGTGTAGACAAAATAAAACACCCAACTTTATTTTTGTAACATGAGTTACTGTCTTGTGTGTTGGCGAGTCGCCGAAAGTCCGCTCCACTTGGCTTGCCTCCTCCGCAGTGGCCTCTGACCTTCGCTGCTGATATAGTGGGGTTTGGGTTCGTTCTGGTTTCGGGGCGAGGCTAAACAGGCTCGAGAACTTTTATCTTCATTGTCGTGTGTTGCCTTAGGGGACTAAGAAAACAGATGGTCCTGCTTAATTCTCAGAACGATTTCCAAACCAATGCTAAAGTAAAATAACCACGTTTTCTTCGCAATTCTATTTAAAAGGTAGAAAAGTAGATGATCTTACCATATAAAGGGCTCATCTAAAATAACGCCCAAACCGCAGGAAACTGTGCATCTTTTGATCTCACCTTATTAGGAAGACCTCAACAGAAAATCACGTAAAGAGAAACTTCTTTGCCTCTCGGGGTGGGTTGGCTCTATATGATGTTAGAAACCCATTTAAAACGGTGATGAAAGCATGAACAAGAGCAAACTTCAGCGCCTGGAATGCCCACTTTTGCGACACATGACAGTGATAGTGATCTCTCACCAGTGTGTAAGGTTAATTGGAGCAGGAGCCTCAAGACTTGGTTTCTCTGTCTGTAAAGCATCTTACGCAGCAGGGAGCTCTGGGGTACTGCTGGCCACGGTCAGGTTCACCGGGTCTCTGCCGCAGGACTGCCCTGGCTTGGCGGCTGCTGGCTGGGTCTCCAGGTCCTTTCAGGGCAAGGACTGTTGTGTCAAAACCACCTGCCATCTGTTGGTGAAAACTTTTTGGATTCTCGATGAGTCACTTATTTCTCCTGCTGTTCCTCCTGCTGCCAGGACTAGTTTACCTAGTGGACTTTCCCAGGGATATACTGGACTAACTCGTCATGAAGCTTTGTCCTGTGCAAAGTTCTGTCCCTAATGAGCAACCTCTTGTGCCAGCACGAGAAAAGGTGGGGACAAGTTACCCGGGCACTTCCACGAGGTGGGGAGAAGACAGGGCAGAGAGCCAGCCTCATCCTCACTCCAGGGGCCTTCCCGGTGAAGCTCCAGCTACTGCCTTCCAGCGCTTTGAGTTCGGAGTCCAGAGGTGTTTCAGATTTTCTTGCCCATGCTCTCTTGCTAGGGCACCAACGCCTGACACCAAGTGTGGCAGAGGGTAGGCCCTCAGTGACTGTTGGTTAAATGGATGACTGAGGTCTGTGACCACAGGGTGGGCAAAGTGACCTACCCAGGGCCACCAAGAGTAGCACACTGGGCCCAGTTTAGCCCAGTAGGCCAGGGTGCCTAATTGGTGCAGAGCCACCAAGAACTCTGAAATTCTGATATAGTCTGTTCTTGCCAGCTTCAAAAGGAGAGTACGTGGAATTATTCTGGGGAGAAATTCAGGCATCTCTTGCCACACAGACGAGCGTGGTGCTATGATCTAAGCGGAAAGCAAGAGATAGAGGAAAGTGGGCATCTGCAACCCTGGGCAAGAGGACTAGGATTTAACGGCAGAGCCAAGTGCTTTGCCAAGGAGAAACCCGAGGATCCGACTCACGAGCCCCTCTGACCACTAAGTGTGGCAGTGGAAGTCTGGGCTAAAACACAAGATACGCTTCTCCACTGACTCAGTTTCACACAAACCGGTTTTTATTGTTAGTATCATCATCTTTTGTCCCCCCCAAAAGTGTTTATTAAGGTGGTTCAAATCTAGCTTTATTCACATATCCTAATATATTTCTATGCTTTATGCCTTCCGTTGTTTTCGCCACCCCCAAATTCTAAGGTAAACAGCAGCAGCAAACCCCGAAGTGTGGAAGATTCCAACCCCTTCAAACATGCTCCATTGCACTGAAGTTTTCTAAAGATTTCCTGCCTCGAGCAATTACCGAGTCCCAGGTGGGTGGGAGTTTATTCTTACCACAGAGGAGGTGTGGGTCTGTGGGAGGCTCTTCCCCCTGCTCCTACATCAGAGGCAGAGTTAGGAGATTGAGTCCTGGCTGGGAGGTGGAACTCCTGTACCAGGAGGACCAGACTCGAGCCACCAGGCCCTTCTGCCAGGGTCACTGATTGGGAGAGGTGGCCAGTTGCGTGGGCCTGCTCAAGGCACTGCGAGCCCCAGCCGACCTTGGCAGGCAAAGGAGCAGCTGAACAAATGGTCTTAAGAAGTGGTATGAAGGATGGTATTAAGAAATTTCATGAAACATTTAGGAATAATCTCTTCTAGAGTGATCTGGCTGGTGTGGGATGCAGCCAGGACAAGGAGAGCCTTCTTCAGAGGAAATGATGGTGGTACTAATCTCCATGGCTAAGTATCGATTTGCTGGGAGTCACATTTCCAACCACATCCCTTATCTATGCACAAGATACACTTGTTGCTGAGGCAGCAACACTGAAAGCAACCCAGAAAGGACTCCTGCCTTCTCTGTGTACCCAGGAAGTGGGGTCCATAGCAGTACTCGGGGCTTTGTGATGGTTAAGCTTGGGGGGACAAGTGTTCCCTACTCTGAACGGTGATTTGGCCATAAAGGGGATCCAGAGGAGAGGTGGCACTCTTGCTGAACTTACAGTACAAGAGAACTTTGGCAAACTGTCCACGTCACCACTGCAGAGTTGGAAAAACAAGACTCTGTGGTCTTCAACACAGCTCCAGGCTAAGGCAGTCAGAGGCACTTCACGCCCATCAACCAGACTCGGGCACATGGTCTCCCAGCACAGGGACAGCAAAGTGACACCAAACTGAGGCGCCTTCCTCCTCCAGAGGATTCTAAATCAGAGAACAGGGGCACTGTTGTCGCTTCAGGGGCGCCTCTGTGTTTGAAGTAGGCGAGACACTGAAACTGGGAGATAACACGATGTACCCACAACCAGATAAGCCAAGGAGGCCTTGAGTATAAACTTGTACAGACTTAGAGCCTTGTGCATTTTAAAAACAAAAGATTCCATTACTGACAAAAGCAAAGGGAATCAGATTACACCGGCTTTTCTCAGCTTTGGAAAAATTTTGCACACAGTGAGTACCTACCAAAAGTTGTAAAATCTCGTCAGTCTCTCTTAAAAAGTAGCTACTGGCTAATCCACGGTTGTGGTAGCAAGTGACTTTCCAGCTCTCAGACTGCTTAGCAATGTTGATGTGCTGGCATGTTTGTATTAGCAAAAGAGCTGCTCTTTCCTCTGAAGCCACCTCACACAAACAGTAATCCCCAAAAACCTCGACACGTCGAGCCCAGCAAAGGGGCTCCTTCCACGAGAGGGTCAACCGCCTGTTTCTCAAAGATGCTTGCAAGAAATACAAATGCCACGTCGACATTTCCTGAACCCTGGTTATTTACCAGACTAGAATCCTCTCTGGGAAGTGTTTAATCCCGCATCAAATACAGAAAGGCAAACCATTGGCTTCAAGAGAGTGAGAGTTCATTGTAAAGGCAAACAGGTGCTCCAGAGGGACCCAAAACTCTGGAAAGGAGAAGGCCTGGTTGCAGCTGTTTCAGGAACCGCCTCGGGAACTTGCCAGTTCATCCCAGTGGTGGAGAGAATTTAACAACTGGAAGAGAATCTTCTTAAGGCACCCAGTGCCTGTGCAAATTTCACTGCTTCAAAGGAGATGCTGTGAAGACAAGAGTCCCAAGCATCACAGCCACACCAGGTTCACATGGCACTTCGAACCAAGCTGCCTGGGAGGCCATGGCACCTGAGCACGCTCCTTGCTCAGAGACCCAGGACCCCAGCTGGGTGGCTGCAGACTCATGGCCACCCCTCCCCATCTTCCTGGGAGATGCCCAGCACCGACTTGTGGGGGATTCTGCACTCTTGCAGAGATTTGGTGAGGTCAGAGAAACGTCTCCTGGGCACCTCCATCGTTTCAACGCTGCAGTGTCGGTAGCTGGCCTTGTTCTTGTGCTCAGCCACAGCAACAACGGTCTGTAAGTTGTCGGTTGGCCGGAAATGGCGTACAAACCTTCGACCTGAGGGTGATCTGACAGCAAGCAGCAGCCTTGGCTCCTGATCTGATGGTTCCTCCAGGTCTCCAGGCCCGGAGGGGCTCTGTCTCTTGGTTTGGACAATGAATTTCCTCTCCGGGGAACGAGCTCGGGCTCTGGAATCTTCTGTGCTCATCTTCCTGGTGCAGGACTCCTCTCGGTACAGAGCCTGGATGCCGCTCAGCTGCAGTGAGCCGGCCTTTTCGGCCACGGTTTCCACAGCCCTCTCCTCCAGGGTCTTCCTGTTGATGGAAGGAAGAACTGGGTATTTATTGAGGGAAGACGAACCCCCGAAGGACACCTGCTGCGGCAGCTCCGGGACCTCCTCAGGAGCTCCCTGATTCGGAGATTTGGGTGCACAGGCTCCTGGTTTCTGGCTGCTTGGCAACTCATAGGGAATGGCTGGAGGCAGGCAAGGCGGTGTGCGCTGAGAGCCCACCTCTGCGCCCTGGGATTTGTGCAGACTGGGCCGCGTCCGTCCCTTGGCGGACTTGGGCCTTATGACGTGCATGTCTGGCTGCCAAACGAAGCTGTCAGCCGCTGTGCTGATAACAGTGCCACATTCAGGGGGGGTTATGTTTACAGGAGCTTCTGTGGCCATTGCTTCTCAAGACCCCTAAAAAAGCAGGAGAAAAGAGAGAAGGTCATCGATTAAACTTTCTGGGACTTCTGGGTCCGAGCCCTTCACTCTCCAGGTGCCAGAACAACCAACAACCAACCAGCCGCTGTCGGTGGCAGAAGGCTTCTCTGGATTTTTGGCATCTGGAGAGGGGCGTCAGTTGCAATTCATTCATTCATTTCAGCACTTGGCATTTACCAATGAACCAAAGTCCTTACAACTTAAATTATTCGAGTGAGGAAAGACCCACAAGTAAATCGATATTATCAAAGAGTAATAAGGAATGAGGAAAATAAACAGAACCTTGGGACCAAAAGTGACTAGGGTGGGAGACTAATTCTTATGCTTATTGGGGGAGCTTCCTTTAGGCTGAGAGACCAGAGGAATGAAAAGGAACAAGCCATGGTCCAGTCTACGGGAAGGGGTCAGCTAACTTTTTCTGTAAGTATTTTCAGATTTGGAAGCCACGTGGTCTCTGTTCCAGCTACTGAACCCTGCCACTGTAGCATAAGAACAGCCATACACAATACATAAACTAACGATTGCAGCTGTGTTCCTATAAAAAAAAACTTTATTTGCAAAGACGAGGTGGGCCAGATTTGGCCCACAGGCCATGGTTTGCCCACCCTTGATCTAGGGGGCAAGTTTCCAGGCGAGGGGAGAGCAAGGGCAAATCCCAAGGCACGGCCGGGCTTGCTGTGCTCTGAGGCATCTGCGGGCTCCGGGGGTGGGGAGCCCCCAGGCGTGGCCTGTTCCCTCCCACTGACATGGAGGCAGAGAAAGGAGTGCTCCCGGTAGCTGCCTTTGCTTAAAAGAGCAAAAGCAACGCTGTTAAGATACTAGGCAGGGAAACAGACTCAGCTGCACTCAAGAGCTGAGAGGCAGATGACAACTTCTCCCCGCACCCCATCTAAGGAGCTTCTTAAACAGGGACTGCCAGCGGCTCCGGTCCAGGGTTCACTGTGGGAGAGCCACCCTCGGTGACTCCCATTTTCCCTTTCTCCCTCATTCCTTTTCTGACTCTTTCCCCATCTTCCCATAGCTTGCCCTTACTTCATGTTCCTTCCTACTGTCTTTTCATTCAGCCTTGCTAGGTGGCTCTGAACAAATTACTTTAACGCAACATACCTCCACTGCCCTAACTTTGCCACCAGTGGGTTTCGGGGAGAGGAGCAGGAAGCCCCTCTGCGGACCCGCCCACTGGCCAGAACTCAGGGAGATGCTCAGGTTCCAGACTGGGGTCAGCAAACCTTTTCCGTAAATGGCCAGATAGTATATATTTTTGGCTCTGTGGGCCATATAGTCTGTCATAACTACTCAGCTCTGCCCTTGTAGTGTGAAAGCTGCCATGGACGGTATATAAATGAACAAGTGTGGCTGTGTTCCAATGAAATTTCATTTACAGACACTAAAATTTGAATTTCATATAATTTTCATGTGGCACAAAATATTATTCGTCTTTTGATTTTTTTTCAACCATTTAAAAATGTAAAAGCTATTCTTAGCTCACGAACCACACAAAAATGGGTGGTGGGCCAGATCTGAGCGGTGAGCCATCACTTACCAAACTCTGTGCTAGCCCAGCTCCAAAGGGGACTCTGGGCACAGGCTAATTCTATAAATGTGCGAGCCAGAAAAGCAGAGCAATTGCCCCAGGGTCACAAAGCCAGCTAGCGGCAGAGCATGAAACAGAACCCAGGTCTTGTGACATCTGGTCCTGTTCTTGAGGACCGGGCTTGGTGTCTCCCCAGCACTTATCATTTTCTGTCTTCCCACCTACCTTGTAAACACTTTGGGGGCCTCCAGACTTGGATCTCCCAACAGGGTACTCATTACCAGTGAAATCACATGGAAGCATGTTCTGAAGTGCGGCGGGAGGCGTAAGCATTTCTCTATGCAGGCCCAGAACTGCCAAATGAGATCTCCCCCTCTTTCCTCGCCATTTTGGTGGGCCCTCCACTGACACGGTTACCACCAGCTCCTCCTCCCCATTCCTGGTTACATCCTTCCCAGGACACTGCCACGTCTTGGGCTCCCCACCTCCCTCTGAATCCTGACCACTACTGTGACTGCTGCTCTCTCTGCCCACAAGCTGACCAGGTCTCTCCCAGCCCTCTAAAGACCTTCTGGTAACTTCCCAGTGCCTCATGGTCCCCAAGAAGCAGCGTGTTTGGGTGCAAAGGACACAGCACCTGATGTCATAAGACCCGAGTTCTATTTCAGGTTCTGCCAAGAGCTAGCTATGTGACCACGGGGCGATCATTCTACCTTTCTGCTGCATCACTTTCCTCAATGACAGAATTGGCTATATCACCTAGAAGACGTTATTTAAACACCTCTGAACATCAGTCTCTTTATCTGCACCATGCAGACAGTAATAAGAAATAATGCAGGTAAGGCTGTAAGCACCAGGCTTAGGACACAGCCAAGGCTTAATTAAGTGGTAAGGCTTTTTTCCTTTTGTTTTTGTTTTTCTGTTTGTTGAGTGCTTTCTATAATTTTAGGTCCAAAAGTCTTACTTGTTGCTTCAGAGCTTTTTCCCAGGGCATCCTTGGTGGCTGCACTCCTAGTCACCCTCCAACCAGATGGGTAAATCAGGGCACTGGTGCCTACCCTGCCCACTGCGCAGAAATGCCAGAAGGTTGGTTTCAACGAGCTCCTGCCTATGAAATTGCCTCAAAAATGCAAAAGAAACGCTTTCTAATAAATTTCTTCTAACTCCACACTTTAATCCTATACTTACCTCAAATTCACTAACTCCAAGCTACCTCCATCACCCAGTCCTGAAGGATGTCATTCAAGCCTCTGAGCTTTGCACTCTAACATTCTGTGCACATTATCATTACTGCCTAATTTTAGGAAGCATCCTCTTCTTTCCCACTAAAACCACAACTAAACAACACACAGTAGCCCTACACATGCCTGAAGTCCTACTCAGTTCAAAATCTACCCTCTCTTTCTTAACTCAAAGGCCTGTTTCCCGATTCTGCTCACAGACTGAGTCTGTCCACATTTTCCACTTCTCCCAGTCTTTCACACCCAATCTGGCAGCTGGGAGTTCAGGAGCCTTCTCCTTGGCATCCAAAAAGCCTGCCCAGCTCCTTGTTAATTTAATCTATCTTCTCATCAACTGTGAAGAATGTGGTTTTTTTTATAAACATATTTTAGTTTTACTTGAGTTCTAAAGTCCCTCACTTACAATTAAGCAGCTCTGCACTTGAACTCAGGACGGCAGGAGCAGGTCCTAATTGTCCAACCGTTCTGCTAAGACAAGCTCCACTGGGAAAGCGCCTCCCCTCCCGGCCTGGCCTGCCCTCCCCCCCGGGGAATGGCTATTAATTTGCCACAGCTTCGACAGAATTATCACAGACTTGGCTTCCAACTCCCACACAAGCCTCAGGAAGGCTCGACTGTCAGCAAGTTTGGTAACTTAGAAACCTCTTCCTTAACGACTTTGATAAGGAAAGTCATGTGTTCTCATAGGCTCTCTGCGGGGTTATTTTTAACAGTAAAACTTGAGTATGTGCATGTACTTTCTATACCTTTTGGTACTATATAATTATCCATGTTCAGGGGGTGTCATATTCAAGACACCCTGGTCATAAGATAACATGACTTGGAGCTGGCTCAGAGGAAAAAAAAAAAAAACCTCAATTATGACTAATTCCTATAAGCCCACTCATGGTTATTTAGAGACTAACACCTCCTTCAGGTAAAACCGTTCCATCGAACCTGCTTTCATAACCCACTGCCTCCTCTCGAGCGCGGGACCATCTGTTGCATGGAGGGAACACCAACTCTCCCCAGCCTCTATCTCACAGAGAGGGGAGGGCACGGAAACAGGTGTTTGGGGACCTGGACCAACTCACACCTTGGGTCCCTGACTCTGCCTGCCCCCCTCAGTCCAGGGAGGCTTCTACAGCACCCATCACTGTCCCTGCTCAGCTCATTTCACCACCTCTAGGCCTGGCAGACTCTCAACCACAAAGTGATTTGACAAGATCTGGGCGTAGGCATCCATCAAGCTGCCAGCTGAAGAGGCAAGTGGCCTGTTTACTTAAACATAATAGCTGCACCCCCGAGGGCTGCTAGGAGTCAGGAAACAAACATTGATAACTGTTTCCAAGGAACCGCCAGAAGGGCAGGTGCCCACTCCTTCAGACTAATTGCCCAAGCAACTAGAAAGAAGGAAACATTGATAGGAAAAGCTAAAGCCATATTCCTGCTTTCCAAAGGCACCCACCTCCCACCAGAGGGGCAGCTCACCCTTTCTCACTCACAACCTAAATCTAAATTGACAGTAAATGCAATAAAATATACCCACCCACATCCCATCTGCTGGTATATACCAAGGATGCATGCATTTGAATTGGTCTTTTAAAACTGTTCATCAGTTAATACCACCCCCTGCCAATGCCCCCTCCTCCTCGTGAGGCTCAGGATGAAAACACTCAGAAGAACCAACAGGAGATGGTAGCTGGCCTGAGAATGAGAAAACTTTGGTACCATTCCCAGTTCCACCCGGGCTAATGATTAGAAGGCACTGTCCTATGCAGAGTGCCACATTTAAAAGGGGGAGTGGAGAAATTGGACCACAAGCCACCAAGTGATCAAAGGTTTGGAAAAGGAACTGGGGATGATTCCAAAGGTGGAAGGGTGGGGGGGCAGCTCAATTATCTCCACGGCCTGGCAGCTCTGGAAGGAAACAAGCTTAAGCAGTAGAAGGAGGGCTTTGGGGGAGGGCAAGAAAGGCATCCAGAAAGTGAGAGTTGCCTTGGGTGAAAGAGGCTTGGTCTGGGGGAGGCTCAGATCTGGTTCCGGTCTCTCCGTGTGACAGGACATCCTGCTGTCCCTCTGGATCTGTGCCCTCCTCTGTACTGCCCAGCCAGAAGGGCATGGCCCAGCGCTTTCCTAGGCCCTCTGGCTTCCGCAGAGCCCGGCAGGTGTCCTAATCCAGCAAGGGTGAGCTCTGGCCAGGCTGGCTTTGCCCCTGGGGAGTAGCCACTTCTCTCACGGGCCCTCGCCTGTCTCCCGGGGTTCGCCACAGGGCGGGGTCTGGAGATGCCCATCGGGGCGATGTACCGGGGGAGGTTGGGGGGGGGGGGGGGCTCGGATCCACCTCTCTGGGACCCGTCCAGGCCTCTAGAGGGAGGCCGCGCCGCGCTCACCTCGCAGCTCGGCTCCATCCGCCGCCGTCGCCCTGCTCCGTCCCGCCGGTAAACAGCCTGGGTCTCCCGGGCAACCGCGCTGGTGGGGGGCCACGTGCTTCCGGTCTGGCAGGATTGGCCTGGCCTGGCCTGGCGGGGTGGGATAGGGGGCTGGGCGCGGGGGCGGAGGCCTTGGTGGCGACAGGGCGCCAGTTGGTCTCGCTTGCCTGCCTGGTTGCTCACCTCCGAGGGGAGAGACCATCAAGGGGCGGAGAGCCCTGGCCTGGGGGCCTAAGGGAGGGGAACAGTCTCGCCTGACTCAAACCCTGTGACCTTGAATCTTGAATTGGGCCCTGATCTTCTCGTGTCATGAAGCTGCTAGACTGGTTTCTGTGAACCCTGGAATCTGAGTGGCTGCTCTTTGGGCATCTGAGTTCAGGATCACTTGTCTGCCTTTTCTGTCCTCAGTGCAACCCTTTCCACACCAGTTCCTCGTCCTCCTCCTTTCCACATCAGCCTCCCGCTGCCAGGCCACATCCGGAACCAGCTTATCAACCACATCTGCTTTGATTCTCCAACCAAGACCTCTTGTACTTCCAGCAACTCTGGTCACTTCCACCTCATTTGTCTTTCAGCATCTTCCAGACTCCAGTCCATGGCCCTCTGCTTTCTCCCTGCCTATCAGCCTGCTTCTCCCCGATCCTGTCCAGTCTGTGGTCGGTTGCCTCAGCCAGTCTCTTGAAGAATCCTCCATATGCCCTTGTCCTGCTGTCTCTCCATCCCTCCCACCTGATGGAACCCCAGTCAGTCCACCTACACCCAGGTGCTGAAGAAATGGTGACCAGCCCCAGACGTTGAGGTAACGGGAACGTGATCTCCAACCTCAATTGGGCATACAACCCTATGCAGAAATCCTTCCACTTTCCCCAGCTCCGTTCTGTCTCCTTTCTCCTCAGTGGCTCTTTCAAACCTTGTCCTCTCTCCTGAAATTGCCCCCCTCTGCCCCCTCTCTCCTCCCATTCAGAAGGCATCCTTCCTCCCCTCTTCAGAGAGAAGCTGGAAGCCATCGTATGGGAAGGCTGTCAGCTTTCTGCCAGGAAACTTACAGACTTGTCTACTTTTGTTTCCTTGCTTTCCTCCTTTCCTCTGTTCTAATGGGAGGGAACCGTCCTCTGATTTTGTCCAAGACTGACTCCCGTCCACGACTGCCCTGAAGCCTGTTCCCTGCCACAGGGCCTGACGTACACACACCCTTCCCATACTCCAGGCATTTGCTCCTGCTGTCACCTTTGCCTAGAAGATTCTTCTTCACCCTCCCCAACTCCTCCTCTCCTTCCTTTGCCAAATGCCCACTTGCCCTTCAGATCCCAACTTAATGGATGAACACTTTCTTGCAAAATGGAATTAAGGTGGCTTCAGGAGTCCTAACTGGACTATTGTCTGCCAGGCGCTGTTCTAGATTCTTGGAATATGCAGATGAATAATTTAGTGACTATGTTATTGAAAGGTAATGTTAGTAGACATTCAAGAGCCATATTATCAGAGGAAAGAATTAGGATTCATTACCTGGAATTGTGGCAAACTATTTGCTGTCTTGTCTGTCTCAGACGCATGGACACAGGATTGCGACAGAGCACAACTCTGACCCTCCTATGAGATGTTCACAGTTGGTTGAGAAAACACATCTCATACCCATAGAGGGTTACAAATCAGAGTATTTTCAATACATTTGAGCCAAGGGTGGAAGAGCAGGCACGGGCTGGACGTGATTATGTGCCAAGTGATTGGCAACGGCAGAAAGTTCTTTGGGGCCTGGAAAGGAGAGAATCCTTTCAATGGTGTTGTTTCTGCCCATCTCAGGAAGGAAGCCCCTGATGCGTGGGAGCTGCTGGCGAGGGCCTGGGCTGGGCAGGCCTCATGCTGGGTGGCCTCCTCGCCTACCCTCGATGTCCAAGGAGGCATCTGAGGCCCCAGGAAGGTGCAGGAGCTGGCGGTTTGAGGATCTGATGGTTTTGCAGCTCGGTGCTGGTGGCTTATTTCTTGTAAATGATTCTGTCAGAAATATCTAAGCAATGCACTTCAGCCTTTCAACGCCCACCCAAAAAAGATGAAAGTGGATTCTTCATCAGCTATTTTAATATCACCTAAGAATTATGCAATCTTCTGGAAAATCAAATTGGCTTCTCATCCCCTTTGTGTGTGTGTGTGTGTGTATGTGTGTGTGTGTCCCCACATGGGCATGCAGTGAAATGGTACTTATGCCTGAGGCCTGTTGAATATTCCGCAGTATGTGCCTTTTGCTCTCCGGTGCCACGTAATGCACAGTCCCGGGGGCGGCTGGAGGGAAGGAAAGGAAGCTGGCCAGTCAATTGCTGTGCCCACCTGCTCCTTAAAGAGACAGCTGACTCTGCTGTCCTTGTCCCTCCTTAGAGAGGGTGTCTTCACAGGAGGAACCCGATAATGCCCGGTCTCTGGCACACACGCGCAGTGGATTCTTAGTAAACGTGGCCAGAGGTCACTGCTCTGCCAGCTTAGATGTGGACTCACCCTCCTTTCCGGCCATGGTTCCCTCTGCTCCCCAGCTCTCTCCCTGGGCATCAGTCACCTTGTTCCCCAAATGGGCCCTCAGCTTTTCCATCTCCAGGGTCTTTGCTCATTCCTGCCCCACCCTGCTCCCTTCCTTGAAGTTAATCCAAACTTACTGATCCTTCAAGGCCCATCTTAAAAGTCATCTCTTTCATGAAGGCCGTTTCTGACCAGCCCCTCCCTGTACCCCCAAAACTCATGTGCTTTTCCTGGTTCCTTTGGGTCCAGTAGAACAGTCCCAAGAAAGCAACTGAACCTCAGGGCCCCCCAAATTACTGAGTGGTAGAGCAGTTTTAGAACCCCACCCGGCTGATTCCAAAGCCCACCCTGTATCCCAGACCCCTGTCCGCACTCGGCATTCCTACATGGGACTTTATCTGTACCTGCCTGCTGCACAGGTCATAGGGGTTGCAGCCATGGCCTCTGGAGTCAAGGCTTGAGTTGGAATCCCGGCTCCGCCACTTGCTAGCCGAGGACCTTGGGTAACTGATTTAACTTCTCTGAACCTCAGTTTCCACATCTGTAGAATGGAGATGATAAGAATAGGATTGTTGTGAGGGAGAAATGAGATAACATGTCAAGGTCTTAGCACAGTGCCTGGCACATGGTAAAGGATTGGTGAAGGTTAACACTCATCCTCATCCTGTTTCCGTCTCCTTGTGGGCGGGAACTTGCCTGTGTCTGAGTCTCCTGCTTTGCCCACACAGTGCCTGCTTCGTGGTAGGTGCTCAGTAAATGAGAATTAAATTATGATGATGGTGATGCTGATTCCACAGCTGGCTTTTCTACTGAGAGATCCAGCAAAGCTGCCGTTGGTGACCCCACGAGGATTTCTGGCTTGAAGTCTAAATGACCTCCCCCCAGCCCGGGCTGAAGGCAGAAGCGTCAGCTTCTTAGCAGCTTGTCCCCAAAGAGCATTTGGCCTCTTTTTGAACTAGTGACTTCTAGATTTTGGAGTCTATACCCAGTGTCCTCCTCTGTCTGTCCTCGATCCCATTAGACATGTTGATTGAGATGATGGATAACCTTCAAGCGGAAGGTCGACTGGATGGATACTCTGGCAGAGAGGCCAAGAGGCTGGCACAGTTAGTCGTGCCTCCTGGTGGATCAGCGTCCCGAGGGGACCTGCAAGAGGGAAGATTCTGGATAATGAAACTTACCCCTTGAAGTACCACAGTTAGTTTTTTATTTATTATTTTCCCCATTTTGTGAGAAAATATCCAAACTATATTGCCTACTGCCCAGTCTTCTTAAGCAGAACATATCAAACACCACAACTCACCTTGGCTACTGTTGACCAAGTGCTTTCGCCTTCAGGAGCTTGTTGAGTCTTGCCTGTGATCCGTAGGGGGCCAGGGTCATTGTCTCCACCTCACAGATGAAGAAGCTAAGGCTCGGGGAGCATAAACGGCTCTGCCAGGAAGTGATGGAGCTCTACTGCAACCCTCTTCTCTAATATAGATCCGGAGTTATTTGCTCTCCACCTTTGCAATCTCTTGCACAATGCAACATTTTCTTGGTCACTGGAAGTCAATAACTGTGCTCCAGATGCAGGGCTGGTGCCGTGGCTGGAGCTCTCTGCCCCTACACTCAACGGCCCCAGGGCTTGTAAGCTTGATCAGTTCTCGTTTTAATCATTGCTCCCTCCCCTTTGCCTTCCTACTACGAGCAGCCACTCTAGCTTCACTCCTGTTCATCTTCTGGGTCTGAGAAAAAGAGGCTGATGCCTCATTAGAATTGCGTCTAAAAGAAGATGCTGTGGTGTCTGCTTGCATGCTCGGTTTTTGGTTGTGTTTCTCAGCTGTGTTTTGGATAAGAACAGTGCTTGGCTCACCACCCACAGGTGAGCAGGAGGACTGCCAAGGGGTTTGGGTGCTGCCTTTGTGGTCAGACACACCTGGGTTAAGTCCTGTCTCTGTCAATGTGCAGAGAAAAGTACTAACTTCTGCCGGCCTCTGTTCCCTCATCCGTAAACTGGGGTTGATCATCTACGCCTCACTGAGAGTACTGAAAGAAGATTCAAGGAGATAACCCATGTGCCGTGCTTAGCCCTGTGCTGGTTCTCAGTAGGTTGTAATTTTTGTTTTTATTTCTGTAACTTGAAGCATGATAGGACTCTGATCATTCATTCATTCATTCCTCAAACCTTTATGTACTGCCTGTCTCTCTGTGCCTAGTTTCCTTCTCTGTAAATTAAGGATAATGTCTATCTAGCTGGGGGATGTAAGGACTTAATGAGTAAATGTATGTAAAATGCTCAGAAACTGTGCAAGATATAAAATAAGTGTGAACGAGTGTTACCCACCATCATCATCAGTACTAGTTTGTGCTAGATAGATGCTAGGTGGACAAAATAAATTGACCTGTGGCCTACGGATCTTGCAGGCTCTTTCCTCCTTATTTTGTCTACAGGAAAAAAGCCAACCAGTGATTCCTCACTGTCTACATAAGATGGATTGATGAGTCTGAGAGGGCATCTTAGGGACCTGCCAACTTGCTGGTTTAGGGGAGTCCATGCCCCCGTCTCTACCACGTTCTCACCCCTCATCATATCTCTGTGCTCTCGGTTTTGGTTGAGCACAATCCAGAGCACCCACAAATGGTAGTCAAGTGGAGAGAACCATGTTCATCTCACCTAACTCATAGCCGTGAAGGTCAGTGTCTGTGAAAGTGCTCTGCAACCTTCAAAATGCCACACGGACAAGAGGTCCAGGAAGGGAGCCTGGCGTGGTGCAGAGAGCACTGGATCTGCAGTTAGGTGCCCGAGGTTGAGTCCTGGCCCTGCCACTTGGTAGCTGTGTGGATCTTTTTCAAGTCACTTCTCCTCTCTGAGCCTTGGTTTCTCAACTCTCAAATGAGAAAGTGATAGTCCCCACCTGGTAGGGTGTTGTTGTGGTGAGGTGGGAGCGAGGAGTAAATAGGAGCAGAACACGAATTTAAGGTTCAAGGCCCCCACAAACGCTGCATCCTTTTGGAGGTGAGTTCACTGCTCCTTCCACTGAGCTCAAAGGCATTTATTTACACAACGACTAGAGTAATGCTCATCGCTACCCGGGCTTAAATTGTCCTTCCTGGACACGGACTCTGAGACAAAGAAGTATATTGCCGGGAAGCTTCCAGGAGAGACACCTGTCAGGAAGTAAGGAAGGCAAGATTGAGGGGAGGAAGAAGATGACCCACAGAGGGAGAAGCTGACACACAGAGAAACTGATGCTCAGAGAAACTGACAGTCAGAGGGAGAAGCTAACTCTCAGAGAAACTGACGCTCAGAGAAACTGACGCTCAGAGAAACTGACACTCAGAGGGAGAAGCTGACCTACAGAGGGAGAAGCTGACACACAGAGGCAGAAACTGACACTCAGAGGGAGAAGCTGACACTCAGAGAAACTGACACTCAGAGGGAGAAGCTGACCCACAGAGGGAGAAGCTGACACTCAGAGGGAGAAGCTGACACACAGAAGCAGTTGCTGAGGCCTCAGCTGGTCCTCCAGGGAGCTCTGGGGCTGGGATGGCCTTTCAGAGCTGTCCTGAAGGAGAGCAGGGATTGCGCCTTAAATCTTCGCCTCAGCCAGGCATTGGCTACTCCTCCCCTCCTCACCAGGAGGGGTCATAACCTTTGACTAGACTGTTCCGTGGAGCAGAGGCAACTCCCAGGAGCAGCTGATATTCCAGCCCTGGAGAGGGGAGCTGCAAGGCACCGTGCTAAGCATTCCAGAAACAATGGAAAACCAAACGTAGAACTTCTGCCCGCATGGGGCTCGTGATCCACGTTTTCTGTTGACCCATTTCGTCTCTCCAGCAGCTCGGAAGCCCTCCTTGGGCCAGAATCTTGTCTCATTGGATGAGCGGAGAGTTGGTCCTTAATAAGAGCCCGTAAAATTTCATTACCGGTAACGCACCTGGGTCCCTTTGTTTGTCTCCAAAGTGTCTTCACCTGCCAGTTTGAAAGATGTGCGTCCCTTCTTCATGGACTAAACCGTCACACGCTTATTTTTTCAGACTCAAAAGAGAAAAAGGAAGCCAGCCTGTAGAGATGGAACCTAATTTAGAAACATCTCGCGCAGCATTTGAAATGAAGGCTAGCTGGGACCAGGCCTGGTCAGGGCCCAGAAGCTCAGCATCCACCAGAATTTTGCCAAAGAGGGCAAAAAAAGAGCAAAGGTGTCTGATGAACTCTCCAGGGCTCTGCGGCAGGAGGCTCATTCTGCAGAGTGTAAATCTAGCTGGAGCTCTGCACCTGCCAAATCCTCTAGGCTCAAATGAGCCATTGTTCACACTCCAAGTCCTGAGTTATCAGATTTAGTCTGATGTATGATGGGCGCATAAAGACCACTTGTATTTGAAGAGAGCTGTTGACTGACCCGTGGGGCCCCCGCCCAGTGACGTGGGACCCGGAGCCCACGTTCTCCTCTGTCCTCCTGTGGGAACTGTGCCGAATACGGCTACCACTGCCGTTGCTAACGACAATCAGAAGGGTGTGTCTGCCTGTTCCAGCAATTATAGTACAAAGCCGTTTACTTGTGTGGTTTCACTTGGTCCCCCAAGTCTGTGCAGTAGGGCGCTACGTGAGCGTGAGGAAGTTGTCCAAACTCTCCGGGCCTCAGTTTCTCCACCTCTAAAATGATTATAGAGCTTCTTGAGTTATTGTGAGGATTCAATGGTGTAATACCCGTGAAGCCCTTAAAGAAAACAGCACTTGGTGTATAGCAATTTCTTATTAAATGTTTGAAATTACTGGTGGGTAATTTTAGTCTCACTTCATGGGAGAGGAAACGGAGGTTCAGAGGGGCTAGGTTTATGAACAAGACACCTGGGCATCAAGGAAGGAAAACACGAGGACCGACGTGCAAATGGGGCTGGGCTTTCCTGTGCTGGATCTCCATGATGAACCCTACGCAGTCACGTGCTGCATAACGACATTTCAGTCAACAACAGGCCGCATCTACAACTGCGGTCCGTGAGATTAGTACAGGTGTGCAGTAGGCTATACCGTCTAGTTGTGTGTAAGTACACTCTGTGGTGTTCCCACAACGATGAAATTGCCTAACGATGCATTTCTCAGAACATATCCTCGTCGTTAAGCGACACTTGACGGTATACGCCTTTAAACTTGGGAACCGGGGGAATACTGACTCCTCAAAAGAAAAAAAAGGTGAAGGGATAGTGTTGCCAAAGAAAGAAATTTAAGAAAAAAAAACCACTTGCACTTTTCCAGCTATTGAGCCCTTTTTATCTTTATATTGAGGTCTAAATACCAGACGGGGTATCATATTCAGAGACAATTAGTTTGAGAAAGCTCTCTTTGCTCTGAGCCCTCCACGGGGGGCTTTGGAAGGCCTGCACTGTGGTGGGGGCTTTGCATCCACACGGCCTTGCCTCATTTTGGTCATTTCCTCCCCAAACAGGAGTTCAACTGGCAGACCCCTCCAGAGCAGAGGAAGGGGTGATCCTGGCACCTTGGCCCCGTGGTCTCCTCGGGAATGAAGATCATTGGCGTTCTCGTGATCTTCGCCTCCTGCTGTAAGTGGCAAGCAGCCGGGAGAGCTCCAGGGTGCCCTCCTCCCATCTGGGTGCCGGTGTCTGGGGCAGCCCCTCCTGAGGCGGCATGGGGTGAGGGAAAATCATGGGTCACTGAAAAGAGAATCAGAAGTGGAGCAGGCCCCCACGAGTCCTGCTGCTTCTGTTTCTTCTGCAAAATAGGCTGATTCGAAGTCTTGGGAGCTCACAGAACTTTTGGAAAATCGAAGGTTACTCACCGTTTGCTTAGAAAGGGGGCATTTGACTGCCGTTTTACCGCGCGCAGCCCCTTCCGGAGTCTTTTTGGTCCTTTGGATGCTGGTTGCCTTTATTTAAAGTCATGTGGATTCTAGAATTGAAACGCAGGCATATATCTAGCTAATTGAGGAACGATTAATTCTTAAGAGACAGACATTCTCACGGTGACTTATGGAATAATTGGTAATTATAAGTCATTGCTACCAGGAGATCAGATTACAGACCTCTGCAAAGTGAAAGAGAACTTACTAGGAAACAGTATTGGGTCTGTTGGGAAACTCTTTGACTCTGGTTTTATTAGTTGAGTAGAGATTTGTCTAAATGCATTTTTCTGTCTGTTTCGGCTGCGTAGAAATAATTTTAGGTCCCTAAGTCAAAATGTCAAAAATGGGGTTCCTATTTTCCCTTAGTCAGTGGTAGACTTCAAGTTTTCACGATCATAGTGTGGGGGGACCTGTAGGCGGGAGAGCCGCCTCTGCAGCCCCCACAATGTGCCCTGAAAATCAGTGCCTGACTTTTTTTCCAGGGGCTGCTCAGGCAGCAGTGACCACTGCTGGGCTGCGGCCCCCTCTGCGGTGCTTTGTGACGACAAGGCATCCAGAACCACCGTGTGAGATGAGAATGCTCCTGGGAAAATTTCCCCAAACCTTCTGTCTCTGGTTTTCTTCTTCAAGTTCATGTTTTTATTTTATTTTTATTGCAAAATATATATGCTTGTAATTAAAAAGTCAAATAAGTGACTATAGAGTCCTTCGCAGACCCCAATCTTTTTTTTTTTTAAAGATTTTTTTTATTTTTTCCTTTTTCTCCCCAAAGCCCCCCGGTACATAGTTGTGTATTCTTCATTGTGGGTTCTTCTAGCTGTGGCATGTGGGACGCTGCTTCAGCGTGGCCTGATGAGCAGTGCCATGTCCGCGCCCAGGATTCGAACTAACGAAACACTGGGCTGCCTGCAGCGGAGCGCGCGAACCTAACCCCTCGGCTACGGGGCCAGCCCCTGCAGACCCCAATCTTTTGCCCACACCCAGATGTGGCCATTCTGCAGAGTTTATATACATGCCCCTAGGCCTTCGCACATACACATTTCGAACATTTAATAGAAAAGTAATACACGCTCAGTATAGAAAAAAATCAAATTGCATTAAAGTTTATAAAATAAATGCTGCCTGTTATTTTCTCCACCTACTTCCCTAAGCCCATTGCCTAGAGATAGTGCTATTAAAAGATATGTTTTTAAGACATCATTTACTTATTATCCTCCTGTCAGTGGATGTGTGGGTAGTTTCCAGTTTTTTGATATGACAAGTAAGCTGCAGCAAACATCCTCATATATATTTTTTCTCCCCACTTGCATAAGCATTTTGTAGAAGTAAAAATTGCTGGGTCCATGTATATTTGCCATTTAAAAAAATGGACTCAGGGCATCTTTTCTGCCCCTTAAGTATTTTGTTTCTCCAGAGAGATTGTAAATGCCCCATTATATCTGTAAGGACTGGCATTTCTGCTTTGAACTTTTCCCGTTAAACTTTCTCATCAGACCTGGGGTGTTTCTGCCTAAGATGGTGTTCGTTTGTTTGTTTTTCTTAAAGATTGGCACCTGAGCTAACATCTGTTGCAAATCTTTTTTTTTCCTTCTCCCCAAAGCACCCCAGCACATATTTGGATATTCTAGCTGTAGGTCCTTCTGTTTGTGCTATGTGGGACGCCACCTCAGCGTGGCCTGACAAGCAGTGCCGTGTCCGGGCCCAGGATCCGAAACGGTGAAACCCTGGGCCGCCGAAGCAGGGCGTGTGAACTTAAGCACTCAGACATGAGGCCGGCCCTCTGTTTTTTTCCTTTTGAGGGGAAGACTGTAGTTGACAGTAGACTGTTGCCCTGAACATCATGGAAACTGGGTTCTCATCCTGGGCTAGCAAGAAGCCAGCTGTGTGATGCTGTAGATCCGATTCTGTTTTCCATTAAGGAGGCTGATGATCCCAGCCGTGCCCATGAGCCGTTTGGGGGCGGGGGGGGGGCGGTTCCTGATGGGCCCGAATGCAGAGCCCTCTGGTCAGGGGATGCCAAGGTGTCATGGTTCTCATTGGGTCTTTCCTTCTTCCTTATTTTCTTGTTGGCAGTGATCGCCCCCACCCACAGCAGCTTCTGGCAATTTCAAAGGATGGTCAAACACATCACAGGGCGGAGTGCCTTCTTCTCATATTACGGATATGGCTGCTACTGTGGGCTTGGGGGCAAAGGGACCCCCGTGGACGACACTGACAGGTGAGTGCAGAGGCTCCAAGGCCTCCTGTCATTTGATTCGTGTTGAAATCCATGCTTGAAGTGAGAGCGACAGATTGGGACTCTTGCATGGCAAGTAACAAACCAATTCAGGTGAGTGTAAGAAAAAAAACTGAATGGGAGTGGGAGGAGGGGCTTGAGGACCCCTGGGCCTGGGCTGGCCTCCCTTATATGTGGCCGGTGCAGTTGCAGAGCTGGGATTCCTAAGGTCCCACACGTGGTTGACTGCTCTGCTGTCACCATCCTGAAATTCTTAATAATGTTTGAACAAAGGAGCCCTGCATTCTCACTTTGCACGAGGCGGTGCAAATTATGTAGTCAGTCCTGCTCAGAGCTCTAGAAACGTTTTCAATCGTCGGTCCTCATGGCAAACATGGTCCTCTCAATTCCCCATTCTTTAGGAATATAGGCGCAGCAAGGCTGACTCGCTGTCTCCCAGTCCTGATTCCGAATTCCGGGAGAAAGAATCCAAGGGGCTCACTTTGGAAAAGTTGTCCGTCTGGGTGAGGTCACCTAGCACAGACTCGGCTGCCAGGCCTCCTCCTGAGGATGAGGGAGGGGGAGGGAGTTTCTAGAAAAAGTGGAGCTTGGTGTAATCTGGCCAGGGGAAGAACACACAGGGTAGTTGGCATGTTGTTTCATCTGGAGAAATCAGAAGCAAAATGTTCCTTGCCACTCTAAATCTAGTGTGGATAAATATGTGCCCACTCCTGGAGCTGGATTCCTCTGGGTTGGGCTCATGAGACGGTGGAGTGTTCCAGCTGGAAGGACCCCGGAGCCCTGGAGGGGAACTGATGAAATGCCCATCATGTGTCGAGCACCAGAATTTGCACAAAGGGCCTAACTTAATCCTCGCAGCAAATGGCCGAGGCAGTGTTACCATCCCCATTTCACTGGTGACAATGATGAGGACCCACGAAACCAAAGTGGCAAAGCCCCAAACACACAGCACCTGAGTGGCAGAGTCAGGATTCGAACAAGAATTTGCCTGTTTCAAAGTCTGGGCCCTTTGATGCTCTGTGCCTGTCCTTCTAACTCCAAAGCCTGCTGAGAATTTTGACACTTTTAGCCAAAGCCGACAGTCAGCAAAGAGCCCGCTTGCAGATGGAGATGGGGAGAGAGGAAGATGTTTTCTTTTTCTGTCTTAGAATCCAGTCGCAGGTCTCTGCACGCCTGGCCCTGGAGTGCTGGTTTAGGAAATGAGCTGAGGCTGTTCCCCAGCTGTTTTCTCTCCTTGCATGTTCCCTCTTCCCGACCCCGGCCGACTCTGAGTGCCATGAGAGCGAGGACTGAAGGATTCTGTATGTTTTTGCTGACAGTTGTCTCCTGAGAAATTATCACAGAGCCTGGCACATAGTAGGTACTCAGTAAAAAGTCATTAAGTGAATGCCTGAGTCACATGGACCTAGGTTTGAGTCCTGAGTCTATCATTTTCCAGCTGTATAGATAATTTGGGGAAATTCAGCTCTCTGAATCTAGTGGCCGCCCCTAGAAAATGGAGACAATGATTGCACTTTGCAGAGTTGCTGCGAGGAGCTAACAGGGTGGCAGGAGGTCCCAGAAAGGGCTCATTCCATGTTAGTGGTTGTTTTTGTTATTTTTAATATGATCAGGAATTTACCTCCCTACCTGCAGTGCCTTCTCGCCCAGGGGAGGAGGCAGGTGAGTCCTTTCTGGTTCTCACCTGTGGTCCTCCAGCTTATTCCCCAGGGGCCCGCCCCCAGGTGTGCACTGTCTCCCTCTGCTCTGGCCGCCAGGTGCTGCCTGGCGCATGACTGCTGCTATGAGAAGCTGAAGCAGCTGGGCTGCCAGCCGGTGCTGAACACCTACCAGTTCCACCTCGTCAATGGGACCGTGGCCTGTGAGTAGCCTTCTCTGCGGAGAAACGGCTCTGAACCTGAGCCTTTCCTTCATGTCTGCCTCCCCGTGGACCCAGAGAACTTTTAGGGAATGAGATTTTTCCGTGTGCATTGGGATGGAATGGGCCACTTCCAAGGATCAGAGCTTCCTGAGAGTCCTTGCTTGGTCTCCCTCGGCTCTCCCCTGTCTACAGCTGTATCTCCAGCACCTTCTGGGAGCACGGAGTCTGGCGTATAGTAGGTGTTCAATAAATAGCTGTTGACTTGAGATTATGTTGAATTTTGCAGGTTCGCTTGGCAACTGTTGCTGTTGAGAACGTTCCTCCTTATGTCTGTCATGTGTTAACAAAGCAGCTCGGCTGTCTTTCAGTTGAACAAACATTTGTGAAGGGGACTGCATGCCAGGCACTGTGATAGGTGCCGGAGGGGACACAAAAGTGAATAGGAGGCGCCCTGGAAGGCAAGTCACATGGCATCGAGGCCATGCAAGGAGGAGCGCAAAGGACACGGCAGGCAAGGACTGAGTGTCCAGCACGTGGGGAGTGGCCCCCAGTATCCCGGCACCTGTTCTGGGCTGCTGGGCTGGGGGGGCGGGACAAGCACATTGGAAGGCGCTGGGTCGTAGCTGTCTTGTGAATGCCATTCATTCCAGTGGAGCCAGTGATTTGAATGCCCTTAGAGCGTGCGTCTCACCTCTTGTCTGGCCTGATGGAGTTGCATAAACCACTTTCCCCCGGCTGTATTTGTTCACAGCTGGGAGTGTGTCTTAGGGTTCATCTGTCTCCTTGCGGGGTCGGGAACCATCTCCCGTCCCCTCATCTCCCCCCTTATCATGGGTGCTCAGCACTCAGACCCCAGGTCTCCCCAGCGAGCCCCACCCGGGGCTCCAGCTCACGATACACCAAGACCCCCCAAGAGTTAGGACTGTGCAGTCTCGCTGGTCCCCATGGTGAGACCTGAAATATGGTGGCCTGAGGACTCGGGCCCCTGCAAGAGGAGGGCCAGCCCCAGCTCTGCGTCTGGGCCTCCACAGCCCCATGGCTAGGTACCCTGTCAACGGGGAGAGAGCACCCTTTTCTCCGTGTGAGCTCAAGGAGACTTCCTGTGTTGGACTCTCTGGCTGTGACCAGCCTCAGGCCTAAAGCGAAGTGTCTTCTGTGAGGCCCCAAGGCCACGTCCAGGAGATGGGCAGGGATCAGGGCCGAGAGGCGGGGCGGGGGAGGAGGCACTAGAGGAGGTGGTCCCCGAAGTATTGTTTCCTTATGCATAAGATGCCTTCCAGAGGCCAGGGACCGAGGTGCTGACCACCTCCTCCCACCCCTTCAGCTGCACCGTGGGGGCAGGGAGGGGGGCACGGGGCAGTGTGGCTGTTGGTTGGTGAGGGAGGGGGCATGCAACAAAGGTACCCCCAACTCTTCTCAGCCTGACTCGTGCCCTCGCTTTCACATGGTGTCTTTTCCCCTCTTTTTGTCTTCATCTTAACATCTGTCATGTCAGGTGTTACCTTAACATGGTTGAAAAGGCATCACTTTTAGAGAAAACATACTCAAGGAGTTCTTTCCTCTGACGCCCCCCAAAAGTGCAGGGGCCAAGGAAGAAGGGAAGAGTGCTCTGAGGAAGGAAATGGAGTGTCAGTAGGTGCCACGGGGCTTCCCGCACTGCGGTCCGGGGCTCAGACCAAGCCTCTGCCCTCAGCTCCTGCGGGCTGGCTGTGCTCACGAGGGCTGGCCTCACCACTCTGCGCCTGGAGCAGCTTCTTTATTGGCCTTCTTCACTCTCCATGTGGGGACCAGAGCCACTGCCCAGGACCCCAGAAGGTGGAGGAGGTGGAGGAGGGGGACCTGGGGCAGAGCCTGGAGCCCTGGGAGGTGACACACGGAAACAACCTCACCTCAGCACATGCAAGAGGTGCCGGCAAGGGCTGGAAGCTGGACTAGAAGGTTCGCGGCCTGGGCGGTGCTTTCTGCAGATGCTGCTCCCTGCCAAGCAGCAGCAGCCCCTTGCTCCTGAAGCTTGACCGGGGCTCCCAGAGTCCAGAGCCCCGCTGAGGAAGGTAGCATGGGAGACACTTCCCCATCACCGCCAGGACATCAGCAGCCCCCTCCTCAGCTGACCCAGCCAGTGAGTACCCGCCCCTGCCTTGCAGAGCCCCTGCTCCCAGGAGTAGGGCTGGGAGCTAGGTGACCTGGGTTCTCATCCTGGGTCTGCTGCTGCTATGTGCTGAGACCTCAAGGGAGACCAGCGCATGTCCGTCCACTTGCCCAGTATTGACTGAGTGTCCCTTGGGTGCCCATCCAAGGCTAGCACTGGGCCAGGGGCCAGGGGCACAGAAGAAGCAGCCTCAGGCCCGGCTCCCTTGGCATTCTCCAGAGCTGAAAGCGCCCTTAGAGACCATCCAGCCCAACCCCTCATTGTAGCGATGAGGAGACTAAGGCCAGAGAGGGCAAGGGTTTGATCCAAGTAACAGGCAAGATTAAAACACATGCGTCTTGAGCCTTTCCAGTGCTCTGGAACACCCTGCCTGGCCTGGGTGTTCCGGGCCTCAGTTTCTTCATCCATAAAATAGGTGTAGCAGCAACAGCTGCGGTTGCTGAGCATCTGTGACAGATGCTTTACACACGCACCTTGAACCCCCGTGGTAAACCTTGGAGGTGGGTATCATTCTCCCCATTATGGGAGAGGACCCTAAGGCTCAGAGGGGTTAAGAGAGATGCCCAAGATCACACAGCCGGGGAAAGAAGAGCTGGGATTCGGACTCAGGTCGTCTGACCCCAGAGCTGGTGTTCCTGCCTCACGCCACCCTGCCCAGGGGCAGCGGAGGTTGGGAGGGAGGTGGAGATGTGCTTGATCGGAGGGTTCAGACAAATGCGAGTTTACTGTCTGCAGCACGCTGGTCAGGATGCTCGGCCCTGGTCCAGGCGGCAGGCAGAGAAAGGCAGATGGAGTTTACTCCTCTGTAGTGCCCCAGATCTTTCTATTCTGGCTCTGGGTGCCCTGCTAAGAGGCCCCGGGAGAGCACATGCTTTGGAGTCAGGCAGAGCTGGGTCCAAATCCCAGCTTCCCCCCTTCCAGCTGGATGACTGCACGACCGTCCTAGGCCTTAGCCTCCTCTGTAAAATGGAGACCATGATCTACACCTCAGACGGTCCTGGAAGGGTTGCCCAAAGGGTCTGGCCCATAGCAGGGGCTTAGTGCCCTTCCTGTTAGAAGTTGAGATGTCTTTCTTCATCTCAGTTTTCTTTTCCCGTTATTTGATGGAAAAACCCTGGGATTCTTTTTTTTACTGTTGAGAGATCTCTTTGAAGCACCCGCTCTGTACTTGCATCCCCACGAACTAATGTCATTCACCCATGACAGAAGAAACCTCTCCCCAACCCCAAGTCACCCTGCCATTCAAAGAGCTGCCCTGCAAGGGTTAACCACCTCCCCAGCCTCCGAATTCTGAAATCTGCACCCAAGCCTGGTCCCAGGTTGCCTAGCAACCAGTGGCTGCTGGGGATGAAGTTGGTGAGCAGGGGAAGAAAAGGAAAAAAACAGTGGGGTCTGTCCATGGCTCTAAATGTCACTGGTAGATCAGTGCAGGGAAAGGCCTGTAACCCGAGCCCTGGGGCCGGTGGGGACGGCCATTCTTGGGCACCCAGGGAGGTTGTTATCCCTCCTCTGAGTGGGCTTACATAAGCACTTGGCATTTGCAAGGGACTTTAAGAGCAGCCAGCGGTGACACCCCCTCCACCCACACATGCATGCATATGTTGTGCAGGGAGGAGCCTGGCTGTGGGAGGCAGAGACTGGGTTCCAGCCAACGGTACCACTGTCACTTCCATCTCTGAGCCTCTGACTTCTCCCTCTGCCAAAGGGGGAAGGTGAACATGGTAACGCGTGGAATTTGCAGTTTGCAAAGATCTTTCTCCTTTTGTACTGAATGTGTTCTTCACAATGCCTCCACCCACTGACCGTTCACTCTTTCTCTCCTAGCATCTCTAGCTGACGGTATCTTGTTTACTTGTTTACTTTTGCATCGACTCCCTCCCCAGCTAGGATGTGAGTTCCGTGAGAGCGGGGAGCACGCCTGCCTCGTTGAGGGGCACTCATGCTCACAGGGCCCACAGGGAAGGATGCCCTGGGGCTATGCAATGTGGGGTCCGCTTGCTCAGACCTCTACCCCCAGCTCCTAGCCAAAGCCCAGGCACATGTTAGGAGTCCAGTACCTGTTTGTTTGATGAGTGAATGAATGGGAAAACTCAGGAAACAGTCAATGCAAATATCTTTACCCCCGTTTGAAAGCTGAGGAAACGGGCTCGGAGAGAAGCAACTTGCCTGAGATCCTAGAGCATGCGGGTGGCAGATCTGGAACTGAAGCCTGGCTTCGTTTTTCCTGGGATGGGTTCCCCTCACTGCCCCACAGGTCGTGTAAGTGCAGCAGAGGCAGTAGAAATAGCGAGGGAGCGATTGCTGTGTGTTCTGGGCTGAAGATTTGCAACGAAAAGCAGGCTCCCTGCCAGGAAGGGTCTCGTGTTCGGGGAGGGAGACAGACCATAAAATATTCAGAAATAAAGATACATTTGGGTCGTGACAAGTGCTATGAAGCATCTAAAACAAGGTGACAAGCTAAACAACGACAACAGTGGGGGAAGGAAGGAAGGCTGCTCTAGGTGGCCGAGGAAGGCCTCTCGAAGGAGGTGGCATTTAGCCAGCGTGGTAGAAGCAGAGGAGGCAGGAAGAGGGGGGCTGCCATTGGGTCCCGCGGGGCTGGGCTGACCGGGTAAGGAGCTTGCCTTCTACTTCAATTGTAGGGGGAAGCCATCGGAGCATTTGAAACAGGGAGCAATATGCATTAATTTTGCTTTAGAAAGATTACTCTGGCCACTGTGACGGGCAGTTGCGGAGCAAGGGAGGAGAGAGAGGGAGCCGTGAGTGGGCAATGGGGAGAAGTGGGCGTAGCTTGGGTCAGAGCGGTGAAGTGGAGATGGAGAGAAGCGTCGGAGGCTGCTTGTGTTTGGAGGTAAACTGACAGGGCCTGCAGATGGACTGATGTGGGGTGTGAAGGAAGGAGAGGCTGAACCCGAGGTTCTCGGCCTGAGCAGCCGTGGATAATGGTGTCACCCGCTGAGTTTGTGCGGATGGCAGATGAGCGGACTGTGAAGACAGAGCAAGAGCTTGGCATGAGCCAGGTTGAGTTTGAGTGGCGTGTCAGACACCCAGGGGGAGTCCAGTGGACGTAAGCGTGTTGGAGTCTAGAGGTCAAGGAACACGTCTGGGCTGGGATGAGAACTGGAGAGTCATTGTGCTCAGATGGTACCTACGGCCCTGAGACTGAACAAGACCTTAGAGACCAGGACGGAGGCCAGGGGCGCAGACGGTGAGAGGCCTGGCAGGCGGTCTGGGTTAGCCGTAGGCAGGATTGTAGACCTTGTTTTGTCTCCTTTGAGGAAATATATTTCCTGGAATGAGAAAGAATATCCTGAGGCTGTCAGTTCTATTCTTCCTGCCTCAGTTTCCCCATTAGCAAATTGGAAGCTGCAGGATGTGGACCTAGGCTTGTTTTGAAAAGATGGCTTCCGTAGATGGTGTTTCTTGGCCTAGGGCGGCCTCTTCTTCCAGGCAGTGACAGGCTTGATCCTCCTACGGCTCCAGATGCCTGTGGAAATGCTAGTCCAGAGCCACAGACCACTGCTCAAGGTCAGTCCCAGAAGGTCTGCGACCAGGTAAGCCACGCGAAGTGGAGCTGACTGTCGGAAGTGAATCATACTCCACGCGCTGGAAAGGATCTGAAGACAAAGCGAGAAAGGGAGAGGGACGTGAGAGAAAGCAAGGAGGGGGTTTGGAGAACTGAGACGGAAAAGAAGAAGAGAGGAGCTGAAGACAAAGAGATAAACGGAAAGAGAAGGACGAGAAAGAAGAAGGGAGAGGAGGTGGCCGAGGTGGGGTGAAGAGCATCTCCTCTCAGGTTTCCAGAGCGACAGCGCCTGGTGAGTGGCAGCACGGGGCACCAGGCCCTTATGGGAGGAGAGCGAGGTTGAATGGGGTGGGACCCTGCACTCAGGTGGCCCTGTCCCCTGAGAGGACCAGCCGCTGGACCAAGTGGGCCCTGCACACCATGCTTACTGCCCAGGGAGGGAAGCAAAGGGCATGCTGGGTAGAGCTGAGGCGAGAGACCTGGAAGAGGACGGGGACGGGGGCCGCGAGGGACTTCATGGGGGCTGTGGGGCTTGATGGGCTTCCACAGATGGAGAAGAGGGAGCTCGCGGGCAAGGGTGACCCAGGCGTCAGGAACAGTGGGCGCGGCAGGAGCCGAGAGCCGGAGGCGTGAACATCGCTGGCACATTTCATGAGGGTGAACGGGGAGGGGCAGCTGAAGCGTCGGGTGGGTGTCAACACGTCCTGAGAAATCAGGTCTCCTGGGAGCTGTGGGAGGACAGCTTCCTGCGGGAACTGTGGACTCCAGAGATGGACAAACAGACAGACAGACAGACCGCAGCCAGGCTCTTCTTTGTCCTCGTGTGTGTGGCTGAGGTGCCCCATCCTAACACGGACAAGCGTTTCCAGAGCACTCTCTGTGCCGGGCCCATCCCACCGCTCCATCTGTAAACAGCTGCGAAAATCCCCACAGCCATCCTGTGATGTAGAAACTGTTATTTATTCTTGACACTTTTATTTTTATCACCATTTTATAAACAAGGATCCTGAAGCTGACTTGCCCAAGGTCAACAAACCAGGGACTCTGGCTGCCTCCCTTCCTGACGGCCGACCCTCAAAAGAGAGTGGAGCTGGCATGGAGTTATCTAGAAAGAGGAAGGTGTGCTTTAGACACCCCCAACAAACACACACACACGCACTAACACACATGGACACACAGACACCCGGACACACAGACACACAGGCAGGGCTGCAGCTCTAACCACTAAGTAAAGCCATGTAGTGGTGATGTGGTCAAAGGGCAGACACCACGTCCCAAAGGCCCATAGAGGCTTCACTCGTTTATTCACGACTGTTTGTCGAGCACCCGCTATGGGCCAGCATTTGTTCTGTATGCTGGGGACACTGTGATGACAAGACAGACAAGGTCCCAGCCTCACAGAGCGTACGCTCTGTTGAGGAGAGACAGACACAAACAAGTAAACTAACAAGAGAAGTACCAGGTTGTGAAGTCTTCGGAATGAAATAAACAGGGACGTGAGGGAGAGCGACTGGAGACAGCTTGAGATAGGGGGTCAGACAGAGCCTCTCTGAGGAGGGGAAATTTGACCAAGACCCAAAGGATGGGAGGGACCCGGCCGCGTGAAGATCCCAGAAAGATGTTTCAGACAAAGAATAGCAAGTGCAAAGGCCCTGGGCAAGACATGTGACATAAAGAGGCCAGCGTGCCTGGAGCAGGGAGACTGAAGGACAATGAGGATGGAAAGGTTGGCGAGGGCCAGGTCATGGCAAGGATTTGGGATGTCTTCCCCAAATAGGAGGAAAGCACAGCAGGGCTTTGAGCAGGAGAGTGGAGCTAATGCAGGCTACAGTTTAAGAAGCTCCCTGTTTATTTCCTCCCATTAGGGGAGGAGAAGCCAGCCCTGGTGGCCTGTGGTTAAGATTCAGTGCTCTTACCACTGCGGCCTGGGTTCGTTTCCCAGTCAGGGAACCACACCACCCACCTGTCAGTTGTCGCACTGTGGTGGCTGCATGTTGCTGTGATGCTGAAAGCTATGCCACCCGGATTTCAAATACCAGCAGGGTCACCACGGTGGACAGGTTTCAGCAGAGCTTCTAGACTAAGACAGACTCCTGGCCACCCACTTCCCAAAGACTTGGCCATGAAGATCCTGTGAACAGCAGCGGAGCGTTGTCTGATAGCTCTGGAAGGTGAGAGGATGGCACAGAAAGACTGGGCAGGGTTCTGCTCTGCCATCCACAGGGTCGCTAAGAGTCGGAATCCACCCCACGGCGGTGACAGCAACAGGGAGGGGAGAGCTGGTGATGACGGGGATTGGGGTAGTGGCCAAGAAGATGGCAAGAGGAGGGCAGAGCACGAAATATTTTAAACATAGAGAAATCAATGGAACTCTCTGGTGGACAGGATGTGAAAAGTGAAAGGAGAGAGGAATCGAGGTTGGCTGCTAGTTTTCTGGCTCGAGTAGGAGGTGGTGCCATTTACAGAGCCGAGAGTGTGGGTGAAGGACAGGCTTGGTGGGTGGAGGGAGCATTTACATCAAGTGTTCCCTTTTGGGCGTCTTAAGTTGGAAGTGCCTGAGATGTCCAAGTGAGATGTCAAGCAAGCTGTTGGAAATAGGAGATGAGTTCTGAGAAAATGGGTCCCGCTGCCTTCTTCTGTGTGCTGCCCAGGTGCACGAGCTCAGGGCGCCCTGCGTGCAGCCCACACTCCCCGCTTCTCTTGCTTCCTTCTAGGCTTCTCCTCACTCCAGTGCCGGGGCATGTCCACGTGTGATCGGGGAAGGGCTTGAGAGTGAAGGGAAAGGATGTCCAGGCTCTTTCCTTTCTGTTTTCATCCCTTGATCCCTGGCAGTGAGCAACCTGTTTCTCCCCAACCTTAGGACCAAACCCTGGGGGTGGGCCGGGAGCCCCCAGTGACCCTCTGTCTCTCTGCAGGTGAATGTACCCTCGGTCCTGGTGTCGGCTGCCTCTGTGGGCTGAGGGCCTGCGAGTGCGACAAGCGATCTGCATACTGCTTCAAAGAGAGCCTGCCCACCTACGAGAAAAACTTCAAGCAGTTCTCCAGCCGGCCGCGGTGTGGCAGGCGTAAGCTCCAGTGCTAGGGAGGCCACAGGGCCCCCTTGTCGGTCACACCTGCTCCAGCATCTTCCAGGAAGCCTCTTACATCATTTCCACCAGGCTCCAGTTCTTGCAGCTCACCTTTCAGCATCCGGCCTAGGGTACTCCTCCGTCCCTCGGCATCGGAGGGCTGGAGATTAGCAATGGAAAAAACAAAATCCTGGCATTCTCTGGAGGGAGACTGACCATAAATATACACCCAAATAAATGATACATTCCACCAGTAATATATGCTAGGAAGCAATCAAACAAGGTGATAGGGTAGAGAGATGTCCCCAGCTTGAATCCTAGGAAGTTTCCAGGAGGAGAGAGGCCCCAGGATCTACCCTACACTCTCCCTCCACCCCACCCCCAAATCAGGATGCAGGACGCACTTGGGAACCAGGCCCATGACCCAGATTTAGCTCAGACTCAGGCAGACATCCCGGAGAACAAGGTCTCGGCACCCGTGCCAAGGACCCAGGAGGCTCTCTTGCAGTTTGCTTCTCATTTTCTCAAGTTCTGCCTTCTGAAAACCCTCAGGTAGGAGAAAACTGATGCCATTTTCACCTCTCAGGAGACAGAGCATCATGAAAACCTCAACACCCGCTGCCGCCATGTGGATGTCCTGGCCGGGAAGACGTCAAAGAAATGGAGAAAGAGGGCGTGGGAGAGGGCACCAGAGGGATCCAAAATGTCTGTCCAAATCTAGAAGCTCCTGTTTCTATCAGACTTAAATTCGAATAAATATTAAAGTGATCCAACCTGGGTGCATTCTGATCTTTATAATGCCCAACTGGCATTCTATGGAGGGAGACTGACCGTGAAATACACAAGGCAAAAATGCCGCAATTGTTCTTACCTCTCTGTATCCTCGCCTCTCACGATGTAACACTCAGCTTTTCCCATCGAGGGTGCAGTCTATTTTCCCCACCCCTGGAATCTGGACTTTGAACTGACCTTGTGACCTACTTTGGTCAATAGAATGTAGTGGAAGGGATGGTCTACCGGTCTCCAAGCCTGGGCCTCAGGGGACCACTCTCTCAGGACGTCCACGTCCACTGTGAGAAAAAGCCTGGGCCGGCCTGCTGGAGGAGGGGAGCCCACCTGGATCAGAGTCCATCAGCCCAGTTGTCTCAGCTGAGACCTCAGGCATGGGAGGGCGCTCAGCAAAGATCAGCAAAGCCAACTCAGAGCTGACCACAGACACAGGAGAGAGCCTCGCTGAGACCAAAACAGCCACCCAGCTGAGCCCAGGCTAAATTGCCCGCTTGCAGATTTGAGAGCTAAATAAAGGCTGCTGTGTTGAGTTTTGGTGTGGTTGTTACACAGCATAACCCACTGACATGATGGGTCTTATTCCTTGAGACTCCTGGGTTCTCAGCACTGTGCTGCACTCGGAGGCTGTAGAAACACTGTGGACACAACCCCTGCCCCTTAACCTTATAGATGTGAAAGGAGAAAGGCCATAGTCATGTAATAATGGGGAACACACAGAGGGCTGTAATCGCTCAGGCATCCAACACGAATTGAGCCCCTGCTTTGCAACGGGCATGGTGCTGGGCAATAGGGAGTCAGATTTAAAGAAAACAAACAAAATCACATCTGACTATGCTGGGGAGAACACTGAGAGCCATAACAGCTGTTACAAGTTCAAGTGCAGACACTTAAAGTCTGGATTGAGTGATGCTGGCACTGGCGTGCTGACAGATAGGGAAGCCAGAGACAGCTGGTCGGCAGAGGGTCTGGGAACCGGGGCTCCTGGGCTCTGCCTGGTTCAGCTCTCACGGCCACGCGGGAACTGCTTTACCGCTGCCACCTGCCTCGCCCGCACACTGTAGTAACTGCAAGTGCAGAAGGGAAGCTTGAGGACTGCGGGCATCCTCCACGGGGGTCTTAAAGGCCTCTGAGGGGAGTGGTTGCAGAAAGGCAGATACGGAACCAGGAGACTGCGCCCAAGCTGGGCACCTCCCCTCCCTGGGGGTTCCTGGCCACAGCAGAGACCAGCTCAGGACCGTGGAGGTATCTGGCTGACTGACACGGAGGAGGGAGAGGGGCTGGGGGACAGGGCTTCCAGTGTGAGATCCAGGCCATCTTCCACTGCCTGGGCCTTGGCTCCTAATCTGTAAAATAGCGGAAATGGACCCGTGATGATAGCCAAGCCCCACTTGTGTCCGTGCCCTGATTCTGAGAGGAGCTAGGTGGGACTGTGGGGTGGAGGCGGGGTCACTGACTTCCACTGGGAAAGCCTGCTCTCCTGGGAGGGTCATCATTCACCCCCTCAAATACACCTTGAGGGCCTGCTCCAAGCCGAGAAATAAAGAAGCATCCGGCCCCAAGTTGCTCTCAGACCAGGGGGCACACAAGTCAACAGGCGATTACAAAGCAGCCTGGGAAATGCTGCAACTGGACTTGGGGAGAAATGACCGCTATCCGAGAGGGTCAGGCGAGCTTCCCAGAGGAATGGGGGGCTCTGACAACTCCTCCAAAAAATGAGGAGGAGTTGGGAAGGCCCAGTGGGGTGTACAGAGCCTCCCAGGAGGGGATGGAAGGTAACACAAACACAGACGCCTCTGCCACCGCCTCTCCCATCCCAGCCGAGGGGCCTCCTCCATCTGCGGGTCCCCCAGGCTGCAAACCCGCGTGTCAAACTCTTTTTCTCACATCCTGCCTCCCACATTCAATCTGTTGGCACTAACTTGAAAATGCATCTAGATTCCATATTTATAAAATACTTCATCTATCAACCGACGAATGGATAAATAAAATGTGGTGTATTATTTGGCAATAAAAACAAAACAAAACAAAAAACCCAAAGTTAATGGAAAAAGCATTACCTTCAAGAATTATAGCTTCTTAAAAATCAACCAGATGGAATCAAAACACGTTCTAATTGTATTATAAAATGATCTTCTTTATATATTTCTGGTTTCCATAACAATAAAAAAGCTTTCGTCATTGAAAAATATATGTAAAATCAAACGCTGATGAATGATGAAATATGCTACATCGTTATTTATGGAGTTGGTTATTTGTAAACATTCTAAATGTCCAAAAAGAGAATAATCCTTCAAAGGATTGTGGTGTATCTGTACCCGGAAAGTTATGCATTAAATTTCTTAATACTTTTAATAACATGTGGAATTGTTTATCATGTACTGTTAAATGACAGAAATAGGATTTTTTAAAAAACTACAGCATAACTCCAATTTAATTGTCTATCTCTACATGTTTATATAAAAGTCAATATAAAATATTAACATGTTAAAAAGTTTTAAAAATAAAATACTACAGTACAATGTACACATTAAAAAAATAAAATAAGAGGGGAAGGATCTAGAATCTGACCCGTTTTCACCACCTTCACGGCTGCCATCATGATCTGCGCCACCAGCCCCTCGTGCCTGCTTCTTGAGGCTGCCCCTCAGCGTCCAACCTGGACCCTGCAGTCTCGCAGTCTCTTCATGCAATGTCTGACTTTGCCACTCCTCGACTCACACTCTCTGACTTCCCTCTGAGTAAGAGTCAATATCCGTCTAATGCCTGGAAGGCCTTCTTGCACCTTGACCACCTCCCCTCCCCTCCCCTCCCATCCCCTCCCCTCCCCGTTGCTCACTCCCCCCAGCCACCCTGGCCCCCACTGCTGTTCCTGGAACACACCAGGCATGCTCCCTCCTAAGGATTCTGTCTCCCTCCTGAGGACTCTGCCCCGGCTGTCCCCTCTGCCTGGAAGGCGCTTCCCACATGGCTCACTCTCTGCCTCCTCCAAGTCTTTGCCGAAACCTCACCCTCTTAGTAAAGTTGATGCTGACCGCCCTATTCAATACCGCCCACCCTCCACCGGCATTTCCCTCTCCTTCGTCCTGTCCTTCCAGTTCTTTCTTCTGCCATCCAACCCACTATACATTCACTTGTATTCATTGTTCGTTGTCTGTCTAGCCCTCTAGAAAATGAGCTCATGAGGGCGAGGAACTTTGTCTTCTTTTATCACTGACGTGTATGTTAATGACGTGAGGTCAAGAGAGAATGTGGAATGTGAAGGAATTGCAAGTAGCCCAGAGTGGGGAGCATGAAATGTGGGCGGTGGCTTTTAGGGCAAACCAAAGAGACAGGATGGGCAGGGCCAGATCAAGGAGAGCCTTGTGGCCACTCTGAGGTCTGGCTTGATCCTGGGAGCAGTGGGGGTCCCATGCTCTGAGGAGCCCACCACTTTCCACCTGCGTGAACTTGGCAGCTCAACCTCCTCGAGCCCCAGCATCCTTGTGGGCAAAACGGAAAGCTGAGACCACGGCACGTGAGAACTAATATGTGTGGTGATCAGAGGGACTCGATGTTCATTCCCCTCGCCACTTGGCACTGTTGTTGGCACGTGCGACCTGCCCCAAAGGGGACAGCCTTTGAAGGAGAGAGATTTCTACAGCAGCTCTCTAGATTTCCACCAGCCATGGTTCCTGCTGTCTGGCTGTAGCCGTCAGACATTGAGGGAGGAGGCGCGATGGGCACCTCCACCAAGGGCTGGTGTGTTGGGCTCAGTGCCCCATGGGGGAGAGGCTGTCATGCTTTGGGCTGACTGTGTGCATGTGAGCTGAGGCAGGCAAAATCATTGTCCCCCGTTCCCATTCCTGGGGTGTCTGCAAAGCGATGAAAGGCACGGAGATGAGCGGATGTGGGGAGTATGGTGTGAGGCAGCTTGGGCACGGCTGTGGGCCGGGGGCCAGGGGTTGGGGGGCCGGCTGGGGTGTGGCAGGGAGGAAAGTGACTGGTTTTCTAGGTCAGTGAGTGCTCGGGCTGCTGGCTCCTGGCATGGGCCAGGCATTATTGTGTCCAGATGGGAGAACAAAGAGAGCTGGAGGGTGGGGTTCCAGGCTCCGAGAACTTGAGTAGGGAGAAGGGGAGTCCAGACGCGCCCCCAAGCCTTAGTTGCTGGAAGGAGCAGCCTCCAGGTTCTGAGCACTCACCTTGTCCAGGCACAGGGCTACCTTCCTACATAGTCTACCTGAGCCATCTTCAGACAGGTGCTGTTAAAACCCCCAGTTTGCTGCGGCTCAGGCCACACAGCCAGCACATGGCGGAGCAGGGACTTGAGTCCAAGACTGTCTGACTCCCTTCACGCTAAAAGTCCCCTCCGCAGGCTTGTCTCAGAAGGAACCCAATGCTGGGGAGTCTTAGGGGAGGCAGTAAGCAAGGAGGCTGCTCCAAGGCTTTAAATGCTTGCCCCGGAGGGAGGCCCAGGTTCTGGTTCTGGCTAAGCGGCTAAATTGTCGTGTGGTTTCACTCATGCATTCATCCGCCTGTTGCACAAATATCCAGGGTGCCAAGACTGGGCCGGGCTCTGGGGATCCCGTGGGAGTAGGAGAGGTTGCCCCACCTGAAGCTCACAGCCCAGGTAGAGACAGAGTGGTAAACAGGTGATGATGGTGCAGAGTGGGAAGCCCCGGATGCAGGCACACCTGGGTGGCACCCCACCCAGACCTCCTGGTCAGCGAAGGCTTCCGGACCTGAAGGTTAAGTGGGAGTTGGCAAGGCGGCAGAGAGAAGGGGAGAGTGCCCCAGGCAGAGGGAATGGGCTGAGCAGAGGCCAGGAGGGAGGCGAGGAAGAGAGAGGCTGGAGAGAAGGCCCAGGGCTCCGTGAAGGAAGCTGGAGTAAGGCCACTCCACACAAGTCCCCTCCTCATTCTGGGCCCTGGTTTCCTCATCGTCATAAAGAAAACCCTTCCTGACCTTCTTTCTCATTCATTGTCTTTTTGGTCATCAGAGGGATCCC